CGCAGCTGCCGCCGCCGCCACCACGGCCGCCGCCGCCTTGACCACCCCAGACCTGGGCAGCAGCCTCAAGAAGAAGAAGCGGCTCTCGCAGTCCGATGAGGATGTGATTAGGCTAATAGGACAGCACTTGAATGGCTTAGGGCTCAAGTAAGTATGCCTGACAGGTAGCCGAGGACGGGGTGGGGGGTGGGGGTGAGGCCTGCCGGGCACCCAGGGCCCAGCACCGAGGGCGCCCACCGGAGGGACGTCCGTGAGGGTCAGGCTGCCAAATTGTGAGACTAGAGAGATTGGGGTTGGGGACACGCGAAGGACACCCCCACCCTCCCCGGCACACCTTCCTTCAGAGCTGAGCTGTCTGTCAATAAAGACAGATGCAGGAGAAGGGGTGTCTGCCTGTGTGTGTGTGTGTGTTGGGGGAGGGGTGCATTGGAGCTGGTGGAAATAATGAAGCTTGGAGGATTTGTTTTTCAAGTGTATCTTGGAGGCATCTTTGTGGGACAGCTCCCCACCCCCAACCATGACAGACAACAACCCAGGCAAACCACCAATCAGAAAAGACAATCACCCACAAGTGTTTATGGGAAGTGAGGGGCTGGGATAATTTGGGGGAAGAGGTGGTTGAATAAATCTGATGGGAATAATGAAGTAAGATGCCGTGTTAATGCCTTTTAAAGGCCCTTTTATGGTACGAGAGGCCTGCCACTAGTTTGAGATCCTGATTTAATACCGACAAGATGCTTGCCTCTGCAAAGGGGTCATTTGATCTGGTGAATCATTTGTTTTCAAGTTCAAGTTAAGTGGCCTTGCCTACCTAAAATAGGGTGAAAGCAGACACAGGCCTTGACCCCAAAGAATCGTTTTGTACACAAAGAAACGCTCAGGGGGAAGGTAAGGATTGCATGGTAGATGAGCCAGAACCAGGATGAGGCTGTTAAGGGGGGTGGGGGTGGGGGGAATGCAGCAGAAGCCTAGCTTCAAAGCTAAGAAGAAAGTAAACCGTTTAGCCAATGTATAGTTTTTGTAGATTTATAGATTGGGGTTTTTTTTTGGTGGGGGGGAGCACTTTTTAAAAGTGATCTGTTTTGATTCTCAAGCACTGTTGAAAAATAAGCTGCATTAAGAGCATCGAACAAACATACAGATCCGTATCTGGTGGAAGAAACGACCTTTGATGAACTTTATAATCTCTTAGTGATATGTATTCATATGGTAGAAAGATTTGGCTTTATCCCTTCAGGAAATGAATTGTTATGAAAACAGATTTTGTAAGTGGTAAGAGAACATAGCACTGAGACAAGAAGCAAGCTGACAGTCGCAGGAGGAGCTAACTCGTGACTGTTTGGAACCTACACCATAGTAAATTGGCTATTTTTAGGGTAGAGAGAAAGGGGATGGTCTTTGAGGCTGGATTTCTTTATTTTTAAAGAGCAACCTAGTAGAATTTCTTCAAGACAAGGGCTAGGTGTTATGGTTCTTAACACGTCTTCTCTTGCATGGAGCTCACAAATTTTTTTTTCCAAAATGTAGCAACACGGTCAGTGTGTAGATCCTGATTTTTCCTTTCTTTGGTCACTTGGTTACAACCAGCTTCGAAATTGTGTGCTTCGTTAAGCTTCTGATGGCAAAACTGGGAAGAATTTATTTTGATGTTCTAGCCAAAGGAGGTTTTTAACTTGACGAGTTTTAAATGGAGGTGGCAGTTTAAATAGGAGGTTTGTTTGACCCAAGCACATTAAAGCTATTTATTTTTCTCTTGATTGCTGAGGTTAACATAAATAAAAACTTTTGCAACTGTTTTCATAGACAGTAGTTTATTTGGAAGAGTACAACCTCAAGTTGGTCAGGTCTTTTTTACACTGTATCTCTCCTGCAGCCAGACTGTTGATCTCCTCATGCAAGAGTCAGGATGTCGTTTAGAACATCCTTCTGCTACCAAATTCCGAAATCATGTCATGGAAGGAGACTGGGATAAGGTAAAGTAGGGCGTATAGAGCTGTGTGACTGCTGCTAAAATTACATATTTGATATGCATTTTGTGACATGTCTTGTTTTTCTTTTATACCAATTTTTGCAGGCAGAAAATGACCTGAATGAACTAAAGCCTTTAGTGCATTCTCCTCATGCTATTGTGGTAAGAGGCGCACTTGAAATCTCTCAAACGTTGTTGGGAATAATTGTGGTAAATACACTTTTGTTCTTAGTCTCACATTTATGTTATTTTTTAGTAGGTTATTAATATTCCTAGGCTTCTGCCTCTTATAAAAGTAGTTAAATTTCATGTAATTAAACTTGTAAACAACTATGAGTATTTATAAAGTTGAGCTTTGCATTTTAAAAGTCATATTTAGTAAATATGTCATTTGTACCTAGTTAATAAGTTAAGTGCTACAAAAATCATATTGAAAGGTCTATAAGCGTTCAGTGTTCTTAACAGGAGTTCTGTGTTTTTAGACTCAAGGTTAAGTTATATATTTTTATATTGTTAAAAGATTACATGTACTGGTGAAGAGAAAAGGTTGTTTGGAGCATGTGTATATATTACACAACCTTAAGTACAAATTATCCCTTTTAAAAAATTATGAGACCAAGTTCAAACCAACCCCATTGGTGTGCTCACCGTATTCCATCCACTCTTGCCTTCCAGCTGTGTGAATTGACAGTGTCAGCTTTTATGTAGTATGTCTCCTCACGGAGGGCTTGTATACAGATTTGACAATCGGCCTCTGCTTCCTAGCCTTATTTCCCCGACAAGATCAATTTAGTAGTTTAAGCTGTTATTCTCTCCCATAGATCTTAATTCTTTATCCTAACGTGCTTGAATTCTTCAGTAAATGTTGGTGAGGGACATAAGGGGGATACGTTTTTCCTACGTGTATTGTGATTGGAAACCATGAAGAATCAGCTGCTGGCTGTTAGTTGCTGGCTTTTTAACTTCTAGCTGATTCATTTGTTGTCAAAAGCAGTTTCCTGTCTGGTGGGGGAGGGAAAGCAGGCAAATAGGAAGTGAAGTAGGGAAAACAGCTGTTTGTTAAATATTAGTAAATGACTGTTACATTTTGATTTTTAAAATTGGGTCAAACATTAATCTCCTGACTTTGTTTATAACCTAACAGCCTAACATTTTAGGGGGCTGTTTTTAATTTTTTAACAAAATCTTACAAAAGAGTTTGCAAGTTCTTAATGTAATTCTATTCAAGTGTGTGATTTCATGGAGGATTGTTTTCCTTTTTAAAGCTTCACCCAATTACAGTTATAATTTAGTAGCAAAAAAATTTAAGAGGGTCACTTCCTATTTTTTATTCATAGTAATTTGAGACTTGATTTTGAATATGACTCTCATTAGAAGCAACATGTAAACTGAAGAAAGATAGTTTAGATAATAAGGAGAAATCCTTTCTTTTTGCAGCCTGCTCAGTCTGTAGGACATTCTAGGATCTAATAAAAGATGAAGATTAAATCTCTGGCTGAGGCTCACACCATCAAACTGTTTAGGTATTTATACAAAGAAAGGGGTCCAACTCTATATCACTAAGCATTGATGGATCAATTGCTTTTAAAGATTCAGTTCAGCATTTTTAAAAATTGCCCTATACCTTTCAAGTTATGTTTATCTTTATTCCTCCTTGTCCTGTTCTCAGAACACTTTAAATTTGTAGAAATAACTTAGGATACAACTATCTGGTTGTTTTTACTGTGTTGTTTTTTCTTTTTGTTTTTGTTTTTTAAACAAATATTATTTTAGTTGTGTGTGCACACACATTTGGAAATACCTAAGCTTAAAATTATTGTATTTTTTAAACCTGAATGTTTTTATCGACCCATTCCACCACATTCTTCATCCCTTCCCTCTGCCCATTTTTAAATGGTCTCCTGTCAAATAATACTGCCAATAGCAGAATTTACTCTGGATTTTTGGGGAGCTAAACTTATGAATGAACAGTTTTGGAGTTGTGTTCAGATATGACTAGCCAGGTGTGGGGATTGGTGTATGTATGTATTTGATAAATATGTATTTAACAAACGTGTGCAAATATTAACTGACATACAAAAATTAATATATTTTAAAGTCATGTAGGGAGGTGTTTTAAGAGCCATAGTTTAAATGTAAATATTTAAAATTTAATATTAAAATTTTAAATTTAAATATTTCCCCTTTCCTGTAAGTCATAATTGGTATAACTTAGAACTTCGGTCCAGAGTTAGTCAGAAGCACAGCTAAGTTAGCTGGGAAGTATGCCCTTGACAACCAGACTCCCAGCGTGTGGCTTCTGAGTTTTGTGTTAATGTTGTGCTAAATCTAATAATGTAGGAGGAAAGGATAAAGCAGTCTAAATATTGAGTGAGGCGAGAGGTAACTGCAGAAATTATGATAGAAAGCTCTCTTAAGGTATGCTAGTCACTTGTCAGTTTCAAGTTTTTGCTGGGTATTACAAAAGGAAATACTGCTGGGCCAGAAGATGCTAAAAAAGCTTAAGAAACCAGAACTAATCTGGTTTGATTAGGAGTTGGGGAAAGATCCTGGAGTTTATTTCTAAGCTTATTTCTTTCTTCACTTAAGAAGCTACTGATCATTTATTTAAAACAAAAAACAAAAAAAATAACAGGAGCTTTGCCCCCATCTCAGTAAGCTTCAATTTTGCCGGATTTTTATTTTTTTCTCCCATAAATTCACATAATTTATGAATTAAATTATTAAAAGGTCTTGCATTCTTGAAATTGTATTTACCCTTTTTTGTCCTTTTGTGTTTGACATGAGTTGCTGAACTAAGTTTTAGGAGAGGAAACATTTTTCTCTTTGAGCCAAGTCTGGCAGTGCTTGGCGGGCAGCAAATATTACTTACAACATCAGGACCTGATATCTGTTTGAGGACATTCTTTTTTTTTTTTACATTCTTTATTTTCATCTTGATAAAATCATGCATAGAAAAGCATACTTGCATTGCTTTGATAGCGTTCCATGTGTATATATAAATGTGTTTATATTGGCTTCTCAGAGTTTCATTCTTCCTTCCTTTTTGGCCTGGCTCTGCCCCATAGAAATGGCTCTTTCAGGATCTTCTTGTTAAAATAAGAGTGAAATAGCACTTGGGGCACTGTCCCTACACTCATTGGAGTGTGTGTGTGTGTGTGTGTGTGTGTGTGTGTGTGTGTGTGTAGGACTTAATGATTGATACCAAAAAGTAGATACAGGAACATGCCCTGAATTAAAAAAATAAAACAAAACACATTTGGTAAGAAAGTGTAGCAAAGAAAGCACATTGCAGGTCAGTTCCGTGTGGCATTTAAGTGGAAAAAATAAAGTCTGCAACTGAATATGATCCCATGCTTGAATTGGACATACAGGTTATGGAAAGGAACTTAAATTAATACATTGATAAATGGAAATATATGAGTTGTTTGTTTCACAAAGAATTGAGGTTCTCCCCCCCCCCCAGAAGTTAGAATAAGTAACATGATCCAGAATAGCTTCAACATAAAAGCCTTTTCATTTTAAGAAGTTTATTTTTATAGTTTTTTGGGATTTTTTATGTTTGTTTGTTTTTCAGTCACTTGGTAGACTTTAAGATTATTTTTTATTTGACCTGTGCAGGTTAACGTAAGGCTATATGAGAGCAACATATTTTTAAGGAATCTTGATAATTATTATGAAACATACACTAGTCAATCTAACTTTATGTGCGAAATTTGGTGACAGTTATATAGTTTTTAGATAATGGGGCTTTTTTCATATTTTGAAATTTTTTCTATTGCTGTTCTTTAGCTATAAACTTAAGAATAAATTGATACCAATCATAAGCAATGTATTTAATCATAAGCATGCATTTAAATACTTTATGAGAGTCTTTTTTGGTTCTGTTTCATATCTCTAGAAATTTTTATTTTCTTTTAAATGCTCCTGTAGTGCATTATCTTAACTCCATAAAAGGTTATTTCTCATTACTCTTGTGACAGGTTTTTTAAGTAACATCATTTCAGTTGAAGAAAGTGCAATCATTTGTGTTTTTAATTTGATTTGAAATTTTTACCATTATAGTCCTTGGAGTTACTAACTGTAACTAATACTTCTTAACAAGTTGCAAATGGTAGTAGAAAACAACAAAGCCATGGCCTGCTCAAGTTCCTCAGATAGCAAATTATGATGAAAAGCTAAAGGCTCAAACTCACTGCCATCGAGTCAATTCTAACTCAGTGAGCCGTGTCAGGCAGGGTTCGAACTGCCCGTGTGGGGGTCTGAGACTGTAACTCTCTGGAAAAGAAAGTGGCCGCTGACCTTACTATTAGCAGCCCACCATATACAATCACTGTAATGAAAGGCGGTAGTTCTTAATTGTAATTAAGGTTTAAAAGAAATTTCAAATGATCATAAACTATTTTTAACCCATTTTTTTCCCTCTGGAAAAAGCTTGCTATGATTATGGTGATCGCTTTTAAGTAAAAAGTATAATAAACATTAAAAAGTATTGAAACCAAACAGATTTCTGAAGAACAAACTAAATGTCAAATACTTCACAGTAAGCTGGAAGTACCTTCTGCTTTTGCAAAGAAAGTGCTTCTAATGCATCAGGTGATCCACATTGTCACCCAGATACAAGTGTCAAGGCATTTGTCAAGGTCTTCATTTAGCCTTCTCGTCTAGGCATTCCTTTATGATGCCTGGACTGAATCCATCAAAATGGTGTCGATCCACTTTTCATTCTTTTTTTTATTTTTTTATTTCCATGGTTAGTTCTTAGGGTAATTATATATCTCCCAGGTGAGTAGCCATGAAGGAGCCCTGGTGGTGGTGTGGTTACACATTAGACCCACAAGGTCGCAGTTTGAAACCACCAGCAGCTTGGGTGGGAGAAAGACTGGACTTTCTATTCCCATAAACAGTTACAACCTCAGAAACCCACGGGGCTTGATGGCAGTGAGTTTGACCACTTTAATCATAAAGCCCTCAGTGCTTTGTATAGCAGCCTCCGGGTGATTTGCTGGACAGCTCTTCTTTTGATAAGCCACAATCTGACACTTTGCCACTTTCTCCCAGTGGATCTAGTTCTTCTTTCTGGTCTACATAGCCCCTCTTTCACAGAGTGGCTTTTGAATAATTTTTCAAACTTTTATATTCTTGTATAAATCCCCCTGCTCCATGCTCCATTATAAAAGTCAGGGTTGTTGTTTTTTTTTTCAGTTCTCAAGTTTTATGCAAGAACCTCAATAGTCTAGATGGTGAATTTGTTGAAGTTAAATTATTTTTTTCCTGGGTTTATGCCTTGGACAATAAAAATGCCGGGTATGATTATTCATTCAAAAGGAGAATTGTATTGTGATGTGAAATTGAACAAAGTGACATTTAATCTACAGCTCTGTTAAACCAGAATATTTTGAGTCATCTTGAAGCTTTTTAAATAGTTATTTTCAAAGGGCATAGTAGAATGGTTTCTACTGTTCTGTTTAGGCACAAACATTTTCTGAAACTTCCATCAACTTTTTTCCCTTGACTGCTTTCTGTCATGTCAGAGGATGAAATTTTTGCTGCTGCAGCAGAAGTACCTGGAATTCCTGGAGGATGGCAAGGTCTTGGAGGCACTTCAAGTTCTACGTTGTGAATTGACGCCACTGAAATACAATACCGAGCGCATTCATGTTCTTAGTGGGTAAGGAACCCTCATTCGTAGACTTGATGAAGGGCCTGTTAGTTTTGCAGTGATTATCTTTATTCTTAACATTTATTCCAAGCAATAGGTGCTTGAATATTGCTAGATTCTCAGGTAACACTTTCTTCTGGTTAAATTCACTTATGGATGTGCAGACTATTTCTGTCATCTTCAGAAGTTTTCCATGCTAGGATAGAGACATCACTCAGTGGAAGAAAGGGACAAGAAGTGTATTGCCAGTGAATTGGCATTTCATAATCGTCTGTAGCATCTTTGTGGCATGGATCACAGTAAGCAGTTAAGCTTCTGGGATTGGAACATCTAAACATTTTCTTTTAATGAATGAATGCTAGTCATGTACTGAATACTTTGCAGAGAATGTCACTTACACAATTTCAATTTATCTTCACCTCAATCCTTTAAATGTGTAAGTACCTCAAGGATTAAAGAGGACTGGTCCTGGGCTCCTCTCCTATCCTGTGTCTACATCCTGTCTCTGGGCAAGCCCACTATGCACTAACCCTTTTGTATGTCACCTGTGTGCCAGTAGCGCAGAGATTTACCATGTCATCTCAACTCCAGATGTGTATGTATGGAGCCTACTCTATTTGCATGTCTACTTGAACAGACCTAATTTGTGAAAAACAAAACTCTTGATTTCAGGCATACTGCTCTCCCACCCCCACAGGCCTACTTCTCTTCTAATTTTCCTCAGTTGCCCATTACTCCATCCCCGAACTTAAGACACATCCTTCTCAGTTGTCTGGTGGCTTTGAAGTGTCTTAGCTTAACTCTGAAAACATCCCAAATTGGTGCATTTCGGTCCATGTCCACCATTTGCATCTGGTTGTTGAGCAGCAGATTGCTCCTGGCATATTAGGCAAAGCTCCCAGCTGGTCTCACTGTCTTCACTCTTGCCGCATTAACAGTGCATATTGCACACAGCTGCAAAAAAACACATAAAACTTGAGTAAATCATTTCACTCTGTTTCTTTTTATCACATTTAAAATAAAACTCAACATTTCTACCGAGTTTTACGGAGTCCTTGATCCTTTCTGGCCATCTTTTCCCCCTGGTCATCACTACTCTTTAGTGGCACTGATAAGGTTGTTTTGTAGCTTCTGCCCAGGCATGACACTACCTTATTTCCTCTGGCTTAAATGCTCACATCCAGTCTTTTATATAACTGGCTACTAGTTGCTCAGGTCCCAACCCATATGTCCTCTCCTCAGGCCATCCAGTGTAAATTAATTCCACCAGGCATTGTCTGCCACTTCACTCTGTTTAATTTTGTTCTTGATAGCAAATGCAAAATGATGGGCAAGAGGATGAGCCCAAAGAGATACCAAGTTTGTTAACGCAGATCAGGAAACTGAGCCTTAGAGGAAGTTACCAGTTTAAGAGATGGCTTAATAAATCAGGGTAGCAAGTTTCAATTAATGCCCAATTCAACCGATTCCAAGACCATTGATCTCTTTCCACCACAGTATTTTGAAATTATACATTTTTTTTCCTGGGTAGTATATTGTAACTGATGGCTAGTCTTGTTCTGATTACCTGTTTCATTACAGTGATTCTTTGTCACTCTAATAACATTGAATTTTTTCCCCTGGTATTAGAGAATATAATTATAGTGGGTTGTCTGGTTTTTTTTAATGAATCATGTTATTGGGGGCTCTTATAGCTCTTCTAACAATCCTTACATCAATTGATAACTATAGTTTTTATTCTGAGGTAAGCTTCAGCATCAAACTTTTCCCCAGAGTTTTTCCACATGAGAAAATTACCCCAAGATGACAAGTTATGAAGCTGGAAACAGAATCCACTATTTCCTGGTCTAAGACCAATGTCTTCTGCAGCTTCCCTTAAAAAGGCTTCTTGTAAGTGGGCAATTTCCCCAGTTAATTATTGATAATAAATGCTATACCCAAACTTTTTTTTTTAAATCAAATGTTCAGTATATCCAACTTTTTTTTTTTAATCCTCATTAGACTCACAGTTATGGGGTTTATTAGGAAAATAACATAATTCAGGTTCAGAAATGCTCAGGATATAGTTTGATCTAGGTAATCTTTTTTATCATTTTGTTGGGGGCTCATACAACTCTTAACACAATCCATATGTACATCAATTGTATAAAGCACATTTGTACATTCGTTACCCTCATCATTCTCAAAACATTGGCTCTTCACATAAGCCCCTGGCATCAGCTTCTCATTTTCCCCACCTCCCTCATGAACCCTTGATAATTTATAAATTATTTTGTCATATCTTAACACTGGCCGACATCTCCCTTCACCCACTTTTCTGTTGACCGTCCCCCAGGGAGGAGGTTATATGTAGATCCTTGTAATCAGTTCCCCCACGCTACCCCACCTTCCGTCCACCCACCCGGTATTGCCACTCTCACCACTAGTCATGAAGATCATCCGTCCTGGATTCCCTGTGTTTCCAGTTCCTATCTGTACCAGTGCACATCCTCTGGTCTAGCCTGATTTGTAAGGTAGAATTGGGATCATGATAGTGGGGGGTGGGGGTGGGGAAGCATTTAGGAACTAGAGGAAAGTTGTATGTTTCATCATTGCTATACGGCACCCTGACTGGCTAGTCTCCCCATGACCCTTCTGTAAGGGGATGTCCAGTTGCCTGCAGATAGGCTTTGGGTCCCCACTCCACACTCCCCCTCATTCACAATGATAGGATTGTTTGTTCTCTGATAACTGATCCCTTCGACACCTTCGACACCTCGTAATCACACAGGCTAGTGTACTTCTTCCATGTGGGCTTTGTTGCTTCTGAGCTAGATGGACACTTATTTACCTTCAAACCTTTAAGACCCCAGATGCTATATCTTTTGATAGCCAGGCACCATTGGCTTTCTTTACCACATTTGCTTATGCACCTGATTTGTCTTAGCGATGGTGTCGGGAAGGTGAACATCATGGAATGCCAGTTTAATAGAACAAAGTATTCTTGTATTGAGGGAGTACTTGAGTGGAGGCCCAATGTCCATCTGCTACATTAATACTAAACCTATAGATATATGCACATAAATCTCTTATTTCCCCATCGTCGTATATAAATATATTTACTTATATACATGCTTTAATTTAGACCTCTATAAATGCCCTTTGCCTCCTAGCTCTTTATTTCCCTTTACCTTCCTCTTGTCCCACTATCATGCTCAGCCTTCATTTGGGTTTCAGTAATTCCTCTCGGCCACCTTACCCTTGATCACGCCCTACCAGGCCTCCCACACCCGCCTCACCACCAATTTGGATCACTTGTTGTTCCCTTGTCCCTGGGTTTGTTAAACACCACTTCCTTTCCCTCCCACCTCCCCCTCTCCCGTATCCCCCCAGAACTGTCAGTCCCATTGTTTTCTCCTTCTGATTGTTCATCCAGCCTATCTTATTTAGACAGACCTGTGGAGTTAATAACATGCACAAAAACAAGACAGAGCAAAATCAAGCAACAAGAGAAAACAAAACAACAAAAAGCCAATGACAAAGACAAAACACAACAACAATAAAAAATAAAAGTTTGTTAGTTCAAGACTGTTTGTTGGCCTTTAGGAGTGTTTTCTGCTCAAGTCTGATGGGGTGCTAAGCCCTGGCCCCAAAGTCTCTTTTTGGTATTCCCTGGGACTTCATTGCTCTGTTCCCCTTGCTGTTCTGTTTCACTCCCTTAGTGTTTTGCCTCGGTGTGTTGGAGTCAGATCGGGCAGAATTCCCACACCGTGTCTCCAGTGTTGTCCCCTGTAGGACTATGGGTCAGTGTGGGATGTCGTGTCTCATAGTGGGGCCGGCCATATGGTCTTCTCTGTGGATTGGCTGCTCTGAGCAGGAATCTCGTTGTCAAGGCTTGGTGTGGGCCAGGATGTGCTCCACTCTCTTCCTCCCCCTTCTTTTGCTTCTGTGTGCTCTGATCAGACATGTCCCTCTCCCTGAGCTGCAGCTTCAGTCCTCTGAAATAAAATCTTCTGGGGGGGGGGGGCAGGTTGAAGTCTGGTCCCTCTTTCCCTGTGGAGATATAAACAATACCCTCCCCTTGTGTGGGTTAGTGCCTGTTCCCCTGCTACCCATTTCTTTTTTTTTTCCTTTCCTCACCTCCTTTTTAGTTGTCTACCATATATATCCCTGGATTTGGTCTGGCCCTTACCATCCTACCTGGTCCTCGCCCCAGGACATATCCAACTTTTATAGGGAGTTGTGAGTCTAACTACTCAAAGTCTTTTAAGTAAATTATATTCATCAGCTAAGGGACTATTTTTGTACAAGAGAACAAGCCATTTTGTTGCTGGGTAAGCTGCTATTAGACTGAAATATGCCTGGTATAGTTTTTTTTTATTTTTCTTTAAGGAAAAAGTGATTTCTTTGCATTCTAATTGAGTGCTACCTGTGTACCAAGTACTGGATCAAGTAATTCACATAACTCATTTATTTAATCCTCACTGCTCTATTTAAATTTATTTTTACAAGTGAAAAATGGATTTGTCTTAGCCTAACTCTTAAAGAGACAAAATATAGGAGAATGGTTTGCCCGGTCTTCATTTCCTTGCTTGAATAATACCTGCACTGCTTTGCATTGAAGTCAGTTCTTGTAAGGAGTACCAGAACCAAATGAGGGCCACCCTTCTACCAGGGAGTCTTTATTTACTTTCCAACATCTGCGGATTGTAGAGGTGATGTTTCATCAGTCCATCTAGTAATAAAACAAGTCGTATATTTTGAGTACCAAGTCTCAGTATGTTTCACAGGATGATTTTCCAATTAGATTATTTCGTGAGTGATACTTATGATAAACTCCTGCAGTATGTTGTTTTTGTGGAGCTTAAATATTTTGTTGAATTAGTATAAATATCTTTGGAGGATTCTTTTCCAGTCATTTTTGTTTTAATACGGAGAATCACTTTAGTAGCATAATGCTTAAGGCAGGTATGGAACTAAAATGCTTAATTTCATATCTCCACTTTGCCTCTTAGCTATTGGAAAGTTATTCAGATTCTCTTTGCCATCATTTCAGATAGTACATAAAAGTAGAATAATGGGGCTTATCTCATAAATGATTAAGATCAAATGGAGTAATTTATGTTGAATGATGAGAACAGAGTTTGGCACACAATGAAAGCCGGAGTGATATATGTCATTAAAAGCATAGTCATATATGTTTGCTCTAATTGCTATATTGTACTTTAGTAATTATATCCAGGTGCTATGAGTTGGGTCCATTATAGAGATTTCCCCTTGTTCTGTTGTTTCTTAGTAAGAACTAGAGTTCTAATATTTATCAAATATATTTGTCCTCCAGAAAGGGTTTATCTATTTCTTTGTGTGACACAATTATAGGTATCTGATGTGTAGCCATGCAGAAGACCTACGTGCAAAAGCAGAATGGGAAGGCAAAGGGACAGCTTCGAGATCCAAACTGTTGGACAAACTTCAGAGTAAGTGTCTGCATTCTGATTTTCTGTGTAAACATTGTAAGTCAGCTAGTAAAACTCATTTTCAGACACAATTTCATTGGGTTTTGTTTAATAGGAAAAGGGAAACTTTGTCATGGAGTCTCAGATGTGTGTGATTGGGCTTTCTGCTAACACAGCAGTATCCCTTTCATATGTGTTGGGCAGTAGTGTCCTCATAAGATTTTATTTCTGGCAGGGAGGAAAGTATAACAGTTAAGAACTAGTTATATATATATGTAAACTACAACTTTAAGCCACAGTTTTAAAAATATATTTTGTGGATTGCCACAGTAAATCATCATTTTTGTTTTGTCTTATTTGGTGAGTTTTGTTTTTCCCCCAAATATATTAGGTAACATCCAAACCAGAGCAGGGGTTTCATTTTGCCACATCGTTATGTAAAGGGCCTTCTTTCGTTCTCTGGCCAAATTCTATCATTTTAATGGTGAGCTGGAATTGGAATTCTTAAGAATCAGAAAACCAGATGGTTGGAGAGGTATAAGACTAGATTAGGGTTGATAAGAAAATATCAGTTCTTCCCAGAACTTCTGTAGAATCCTTGGCAGCAGGAGCAATTTGATGAAGCCTACAATTAGAACTATGACAGCATTTGGGCTTGCTCTTCATCATGTAGGGGCTTTTTTCTTATGCTTTTAGTAATATTTAGTCTGCCTTTGGTATATTCTTCTGTAGATCCTTTTTCTTTTTTAATTTAAGAAAAGCCGCAGGAACACACACACAGTAAAGCTCTTATCTGAGTAGATCCCCTTCTGATAGCATATTGAAACTGCTGGCAAATACTCCCAAAGATCGAGTGTTATATATAAGGGACACAAAGTCATTGAGAGAGAGGTATTTGCGGGGAGAAGATGAGCAAATGTATTATATAAAAAATTGCACGACTGTTTGTTTTATTAATTTCTTTTTTTAAATATCTTTTATTAAAGCCTATTTACCACCATCAGTGATGCTTCCCCCACGGCGTTTACAGACTCTTCTGCGGCAGGCTGTAGAACTACAAAGGGATCGGTGCCTATATCACAATACCAAACTTGATAATAACCTAGATTCGGTGTCTCTGCTTATAGATCATGTTTGCAGTAGGTAAGAGGAAAACGTATTATACTCTGAATTAGGCTAACACTTCACAGACTTGGTTATCACCTTCATTGAAATATTTTCTTTTACTTTAGACTATCCTGTAGCTATAAAGTAATTCACATATGATTACTGTTTATTCACAAGTAAAAGTAGAACTGGTGTTGAAAACTCAGGGGAGTGTGTGTGTGTGTGTGTGTGTGTGTGTTTAGTGGCATACTTAGAGAACTGAAGCTGTAATGCTTGTCTGTGGGTGTGGTTATTTCCTTTTCTGTATTAAACAATTTTCTGAAAGACTAGGAAGTGATCCAAGTGCCTACTGCCCTTATAAGGCTAGGGGCCACTTAGTGATTCTTCCTCTGGACACTGGCTATTTCAGTGTGGCCCACATTGTTGTCTACTTATAAAGAATGTAGAAAAACTTTTCCCATAGTGAAAATTTTACTTTTTATTAGAAAATGGGACAGACTAAAATGCTTAGAATTACAGTTAGTACTTTTCCAGTTTTTACATAGATATAATATCATTAATCTACCCATATACAGAATTTAACTTGCATAAATTCAAGCTTCTGCTTTGATGCTGAAGTCTTTTGAGGACAAATGGCCTTGCTGTTGTAAAAATTATCTCCAAAATTAAAGCCAAGCTTTAATTTTTTTTAAATCATTTTATTGGGGGCTCATACAACTCTTATCACAATCCATCCATTATGTCAAACACATTTGTACATTTGTTGCCAACATCATTCTCAAAACATTTGCTTTCTGCTTGAGCCCTGGGTATCAGCTCCTCATTTTTCCCCTTCCTCCCCAGCCTCCGTCCCTCACGAACCCTTGATAATTTATAAATTATTATTATTTTAGTACGTCTTACACTGTACGATGTCTCCTTCACCCACTTTTCTGTCATCTGTTCCCCAGGGAGGGAGGTTATATGTAGATCCATGTGATCGGTTCCCCTTTTCTACCCCACCTTCCCTACACCCTCCCGATATCATCACTCTCACCACTGATCCTGAAGGGTTCATCTGTCCTGGATTTCCTGTGTTTCCACTTCCTATCTGTACTAGTATACATCTTCTGGTGTAGCTGGATTTGTAAGGTAGATTTGGGATCATGATTGTGGTGGGGAGGAAGCATTAAAAAACTAGAGGAAAGTTGTATATTTCATTGTTATACTGCACCCTGACTGGCTCTTCTCCTCCCCACGACCCTTCTGTAAGGGGATGTCCAGTTGCCTACAGATGGGCTTTGGGTCTACACTCTGCACTCCTCCTCATTCGCAATGATAAGATTTTTTTGTTCTTTGATGCCTGGTGCCCAATCCCATCGACACCTTGTGGTCACACAGGCTGGTGTGCTTCTTCCATGTGGGCTTTGTTGCTTCTCGGCTAGGTGGTCGCTTGTTTATCTTAAAGCCTTTAAGATCCAGACGCTATATCTTGATAGCCGGGCACCATCAGCTTTCTTCACCACATTTGCTTTTGCACCTGCTTTGTCTTCAGCTATCGTGTTGGGGGAGGTGAGCATCATGGAATGCCAGTTTAATAGAACAAAGTATTCTTGCATTGAGGGGGTACTTGAGTGCATATAATATATGCACATTATATATTCCCCATCACCATATATATATTTACATATGTACATGCCTATATTTAGACCTCTATAAATGCCCTTTGCCTCCTAGTTCTTTCCTCTATTTCCTTTTACTTTCCTCTTGTCCCACTATCATGCTCAGCCTTCATTTGGGTTTCAGTAATTCCTCTTGGTTACATTACCGTTGATCCGGCCCTACCGGGCGTCCTACACATTCCTTGCCACTGATTTGGATCACTTGTTGTTCCCTTGTCCCTGGAATTAACAGCACTTCCTTTTCCCCACATCCCCTTCTCCCATGTCCCCCCAGAACCATCAGTCCTGTTTTCTCCTCCAGATTGCTTAGCCCACCTATCTTATATAGATAGACCTGCAGAGATAATAATATGCACAAAAAACAAAGCATCAACAAAACAAACCAACGACCAAAAAAAATGGAAAAGCCTGTAAACAGTTCAAGGTCTGTTTGTTGACCTTTAGGAGTGTTTTCCAGTGGAATATGATGAGGTGTCATGTCCTGGCCTCAAAGTCTATTTTTGGTATTCCCTCAGGGCTTCCTTGCTGCTCTTGCGGTTCTGTTGCACACCCTTAGTGTTTTGCCTTAGTGTGGTGGGGTCAGATTGGGCACAATTCCTGTATTCCCCCATAGCGCTATGGGTCAGTAAAGGACATCGTGTCTCATAGTGGGGCCGGCATTTGGGGCTTTTATGTGCTTTGGCTGCTCTGAGCAGGAATATCATCCTCAGGGCTTGATAGGCCAGGATGTGCTCCACTCTCTCTCCCTCCTACTTCATTTGCTCCCGTGTGTTCTGATCAGACATGTCCCTCTCCCTGAGCTGTAGCTTCAGTGTTGTCCTCTGAAGTAAATTTTTCTTGCGCGTGGGGCAGGTGTCCACATAGTTGGAATTGTGACCAGCCCCTCAAACTGCTCTACTGGTTCCCTGCTCCAAACTTTAATATCTAATGTACTGGAAAACATTGTGAAATCGTTCAAACTGCAGGAAGGAAATTATTTGGATCTGGTGAGCTAAACTCAAAGAGGAACAGCTATACTAGACATGCTTAATTTCTTTCACCAAAGATCATTGAAGAACTAATGAAAACATGAGTAGGAAGTACAAAATATGTAAATGTGAGGACTTTGCAGAAACGAACAACTTCTGAGTCACTGTAAAAATCAGCTATATGTGCATGTACATTTACACTGTGCTTTAAATTTTTAAATGTGCATAAATCAATGTTCTCAGCTCATCCTTCCCAATTGCAAACAAAAGAAGAAATGAATGATAATAATTGTTTAGACTTACCCAGCCTTAAATGATCTGAGTGATTATTGTTTAGTGAAAATTGTCCATGTTAAAAAATAGTCCCTTCCAAAAAAATAGCCCCTTCCTTGTCCTCTTTTCCCATGTGTGACCTCTTGATCTTTCACTCCTTCTGTTCTTGAACACTGTCCCTACCTCTTGCTTGTGAGGTCTTTAATCTTAACGTTTAAATTGAACAGAGGTAGAAATAAAAGATTAAAACCCGTATTTTAAAAGACTCCTTAAGAAAGTTTGAAAACAATGTTACCATTAAATTAGTTGTGAGCCCAAATTATTGTTTATAAATTTATTGTTGACAGAACACTGGAAGGTGATAATGAAATATTAATTATGGTATAAGAGCTCTTAGTAGGTAAATGAGGTTGCCTTCCTCCTTGGAAATCTTGGGGATTATAACCTACATTTTTTTCTCAATGCTCTAGCTTCTTTTTTTTTAAATCACTTTATTAGGGGCTCATACAACTCTTATCAAAATCCATACATGCATCAATTGTGTAAGGCACATTTGTACATTCATTGCCCTTATCATTCTCAAAACATTTGCTCTCCACTTAAGCCCCCCCGTATTAGGTCCTCATTTTTCCCCTCCCATAACTTCTATACTAGTACCTATGAAACTAAAAGATGGAAAATACGTCATCCAACTTTTTCCACTTTTCTGATTGAGGACAGGCTCCTTTCAGCCTGTGTAGGAAAGCATCCTGAGTTTCACATAGGTGTGAAAGCGCAGTTTTTCTTCAGAAATAACCATTGATTGGAAAGTCTTCTCTAATCTAAAAAAAAAAAAAAAAAAGCCTGTCATGACTGCGCCTTTCCTAGTTAGCACTCTGTTCGCCCTTCCTTTCGGAGCCGCCTTGACGGAAATGCCTAGTGAGGATTCGTAATCTCTAGTGAGGTCCTGATTTCGCCCCTTCTAGTTTTTATCATGGTGGGGTTTGTGCAGGTAACGCAGCAACGAAAGGTTGCTGGTGTTGGTGAGAAGCAGCTTCTTTATTAAACTACTGCATTATCCAGCCTGTGTTTTGGCTTTTTATTTGTTTTTTAAAGAACATTTGACTACTCTGGCTTCAGCTTTCTTTGACTTCTAAAGTAGTCCTGATTTTTGGTCCACTCTTAGCCATTCCTTAGTTTCCTTTTTGCTTGACACTTTTAATACAGTGGTTCTCAACCTTCCTAATGCTGCGAGCCTTTAATGCAGTTCCTCATGTTGTGGTGACCCCCCCAACCATGAAATTGTTTTCTTTTTCTTTTTTTTAAATCATTTTATTAGGGGCTCATACAACTCTTAGCACAATCCATACACACATCACTTGTGTAAAGCGCATTTGTACTTCATTCTCAAAACATTTTCTCTCCACTTAAACCCCCGGTATTAGGTCCTCATTTTTCCCCTCCCTCCCCGCTCCCCCCTCCCTCAAGAGCCCTTGATAGTTTATAAATGGGTATTTTGTCATATCTTGCCCTGTCCGACGTCTCCCTTCACCCACTTTTCTGTTGTCCGTCCCCGAGGGAGGAGGTCACATATAGTTCCTTGTAATCGGTTCCCTCTTTCCTACCCACTCTCCCTCTACCCTCCCTGTTTCGCCACTCACACCACTGTTCCTGTAGGGCTCATCCACCCTGGATTCCCTGTATTTTCAGTTCCTATCTGTACCATTGTACATCCTCTGGTCTAGCCAGACTTGCAGGGTAGAATTCTAGTCATGGTAGTGGGACCGGGGAGGAAACATTTAGGAACTAGAGGAAAGTTGTATTTTTCATGGTTGTTACATCGCACCCTGACTGGCTCATCTCCTTCCCGAGACCCCTCTGCAAGGGGCTCTCCAGTGGCCTACTCATGGGCTTTGGGTCTCCACTCCGCACTCCCTCCATCATTCACTATGGTAAGATTTTTTGTTCTGATGATGTCTTATACCTGATCCCTTCGACACCTCGTGATCGCATAGGCTGGTGTGCTGCTTCCATGTGGGCTTTGTTGCTTGACCATGAAATTGTTTTCGTTGGTACTTCATAACTGTAATGTTGCTACTGTTATGAATCGGGCAACCCCTGAACCTGCTGCTTTAATATGTATTTCAGAGTGAATGTTTCTTCCCTAATCATACTCCTTAGGTTTTATACTCTCTTGGTTATTATGACTTAAGCGTGGACGAGAGCTGTAGGGTTTATTTCCCAAGTTGAGCCTTAATAGAACAACTTAGATGTTGCTCAAGTACTATAAACTTAGCACAGTCACCGTACACCCTCTCTCTCACCTATTGCTGCAAAGTCTGCTTTTCTAATTGACTTCCCTGTTTCAGTGAAAGCCTCCCCTCTCCCCTTGTTTCCCCTAGTCAGGAAGCTCATCATCAGTCTTGACTTGGTTTCTCACTGTGGAGGCAGGTTTAAAGACACTAGGAAGGGAGCTAATCAGACACCATGTCACAGACGGTCTTTTTTTTTTTTTTTTTCCAACAAGCAAGGATTTTATTGTGATTTATATAATATGTGATGGTTTAGATTTTAACAGATTGAAAGTATTTCAATATATAAGATACTTAATTACTTCTAAGGAAATCTTTTTATTTGTCCATTCAATTTACCTACCTATTTTATAATTGCTGCCTAGTTCTGCTTTTTTTAAAAAAACATTTTATTGGGGGCTCATACAACTCTTATCACAATCCATACATACATCAATTGTGTAGAGCACATTTGTACATTTATTGCCCTCATCATTCTCAAAACATTTGCTCTCCATGCAAGCCCCTGGCATCAGGTCCTCATTTCCCCCCCTCCCTCTCCGCTCCTCCCTCCCTCATGAACCCTTGATAATTTATAAATTATTTTGTCATATCTTAACACTGTCCGACGTTTCCCTTCACCCACTTTTCTGTTCATCCCCCAGGGAGGAGAGGTTATCTGTAGATTCCTGATTGGTTCCCCCATTCTACCCAACCTTGCCTCCACCCTCCTGGTATCGCCACTCACACCACTGGTCCTGAAGGGATTATCCGCCCTGGATTCCCTGTGTTTCCAGTTCCTATATGTACCAGTGTTCATCCTCTGGTCTAGCTGGATTTGTAAGGTAGAATTGGGATCATGATAGTGCGGGGGAGGAAGCATTTAGGAACTAGAGGAAAGTTGGATGTTTCATCATTGCTACACTGCACCCTGACTGGCTCGTCTCCTCCCCGTGGTCATAGACATTCTTGAGATTAAATTGTGCCTTTCATTGCTGGACACTAGAACCTGATTTGACTTAATTGCTAGTATTATGTGTTCATCTTAGGGTCTTTGTGGTTCAGGACCAAATTGATGGCAGTGAATTTGGTGTTAAGTTCATTCTTTACCCAGAGGTCTGCGGAAAAGTTGGCTCTTTTTTCATTATACATGCCTTTGCTTTCAGACAGCAGACTGTAGACATTTGAACTTAGCATTTACATCATATTCAGATACGTACAACTTACTCTTTTTGGTGACTAGGTAATTAGAATTAGCTAAGGATAAGTGAACTCTGGGTATTTAAAAAGCACATAGATCAGTGTTGAAGCTCTCTTACCAAGGTGGAATACATAATATATTTTTCACAGATAAGGTGTACATATTTTTGGTTGAATTTGACCAATAAGCAATTTTATGTACTTAAAATAATTTTGTTGGTGTTTTGTTTTTTTCACCTGCGACAGTGGAAAGATGTGTCCAGATAGCTTCTTTAGGAAAGTACTACTATAATGTAGAAACTTGTAATTTTAAAGCAACTCATTTTATAAAAATGCTACCTTTCATTCAATTTTACTTGAAAAGATGCTTATCTTTATATTTTTAACACCATTATTTTAAGTTTGAAAGCAAAAGCATAAATCTATAAACTGTCACTTGTATGAATATAAAAATAAGCTTTTTAATAAGTTGACTATTGATTCATCTTTTAAAAGATTAATAATAAAGATAAAAACAATTTAAATGTCATTGTAGTGATAGATACAACTGATCGGGGATAGACTAGAACAGCGGTTCTCAACCTGTGGGTCATGACTCCTTTAGAGGGCTTGAGAGACCCTTTCACAGGGGTCGCCTGATTCATACCAGTAGCAAAATTACAATTATGAAGTAGCAACAAAAATAATGTTATGGTTGGGGTCACCACCACATGAGGAACCTGTATGAAATGGTTGTGGCATTAGGAAGGTTGAGAACCACTGCTCTAGATGCTTTGTATCCTTGAATCTGACCTTCCTTGAGGACATTTTGTTACTTTAATTTTAAATAGTTTTTCATTAATGATTAACTTTAGCCATTTAAAATAGGATGTATTTTCTGCCTAAATACAAAGCCTTTCTCAATGAGAAAATGGCATCTCTATTGATTGTTAAAATCCACAGTAAAATAACTACTTCTGCTGTTAAAATTATTGATAAGAATTTTATGCAGTGGTGCCTTGGGAAATGTGATTTTTTTTTTTAAACAATACTTGGAGAGAAAACTCCTGGGGTCAGATAAAGATTCAGATCCCAGGTGAATCACTTAACAGTTTTTTGTTTTTTAAATCCTTTTATTGGGGGGATCGTATAACTCTATAATCACAATCCATACATCCATCCATTGTGTCAAGCACATTTGTACATTTGTTGCCATCATCATTCTCAAAACATTTGCTTTCTACGTGAGCCCTTGATATCAGTTCCTCATTTTTCTCCCTCCCTTTCCGCTCCCCCCTCCTTCATGAACCCATGATAATTTATAAATTATTATTTTGTCTCACTTAGCAGTTTTATGACACATTATTTGCTACCTGTTTGCTACTATTTTCCTCATCTTGAGAACAGGGATGATACTACTTTATAAGGTCATTTAGAAAATAGGAACTTTTGTTATGACTGTTGATTTGAACCCACTGCCATCGTACAGGAGAAAGATGAGCAGTCTGATCCATAGAGATTTACAGCCTCCGTGAAGCAGTTCTACCTTGCTCGTAGAGGCTTGCGATGAGTTGGAATCAACTGGACAGCAATGCGTTTGCACTTTTGTGTTATATTTTGTGATGTGTAAAGCATTGGTATTTGGCACCTAGTAAGTGCTTAGTGAATGCTAGCCTAGTGATCATTAAGTTCAGTTCAGATGTAGAATAATAGTTCCATATTAAAGCAACGCTTAGTTTAACAATCAGAAAGTTTAAAGCCATTTCCAAATGGCCAGCTGCTCAGAGGTTGCCATATATACCAGATGAAGAATGCTAATTTATTTAATTACATATTACTCTCAGGATGAGTTGGCAATGTATTTTTCAATTACAGGTTGTCTAGGGAAGAATAAGGAAGACTACTTTTCAAGCCAAGCCCAAGCATTTAGTCATTACTGTGTCTTTGTTTCCTTAATTTCTATTTTTGTTTTTTTAAATCATTTTATTGGGGCATCTTAAAGCTGTTAGACCAATCCATACATCAATTGTATCAAGCACGTTTGTCCATATGTTGCCATCATCATTTTCAAAACATTTTCTTTCTACTTGAACCTTTGGTATCAGCTCCTTTTTCCTTCTTCCACCCTCCCACCCTAATGACCCCTTGATTAATTATAAATTATTATTATTTTCATATTTTATACCATTTGCTGTCTCCATCTACATTTCTGTTGTTTGTCCTTTCCATTAATGTTTAAATGACTTTTTGTTTAATAAAATAGAGAATAATATCTCTTATGTTCTCTAATAACAGTATCTGCTAACCACATGGAATTTTAATGTCGATATAAAATTCATATTAAATTTAAAAAGTCCCTCAGGCACACTAGCCCCATGTTGCTGATGGCTGTACCCCATAGGCCAGCACAGGTGTATAAATAAAGTGCTCATCAGCACAGAAAGTCCATTGTAGTGCAGCGCTGTTGTAGCAATTAGAAAAAGAATGAATATAAAAAGTTAAGATTAGCCATCCTTAAAGTAGTTTTCCTGCATAACGTATAAAGTGAGTAATTGTAGAATTGCCTGTCCTTAATCACAACTGCCAACGACACTAGCTACATTACAGAGTTGTTCTACAAATGAGCTCTACATTGTCTTAAACTGGGATAAAGAACTTTATAAGGCATTGTCTTTATTTTATTCTTGGAAAAACTCAGATTTTTTAATATTCTTAGGAAAACTAAAGAGGTGAAATCATTTCCCCAGAATTACAGCTAGTACGTAGCTGAGCAAGGATTTGAACTGAAGTCTATCAGCATTTATCTCCCATTCGTAGGTTTCACAGCCCCGCCTTATATGGTGCTGCTCTTGGCTCCCTCCACAATGATACTGGAATCGCCATTTAGATGTCTACTCAAGTCTAAGAATTTTTAGATGTCTTTCTAATTCTTATAAGGCCCTGTTATATAGCTATTAACCTCCTTGTGCAGATGGGAATTAAAGCTCAGTGGAATTAAAGACTGCCCAAAGAGAGCATTAAAACTTTTTGACTGTTTAGGGCTTATTTAAAGTCTTGGTTGTCTACAGCTGTCTTTTTGTTATACCAAGTTGCAAGTTTAACTGGATGTTATGTAAATGAGATGTTAACATTATTCTAAAGCAACCTGAATGTCAGTCAGTTTGTATAGGTAAATATGCAGGCTTGACTTTCGTTTTTATTTATATGAAGTTATTGTTTAAAAATTAGAATCTTCCAAAGAAACTTCATATCAGTTGTTGAGTCGTTTTCACTGTTATTCTTTTGTCTTGAAAGAATAGTTACTTGTGGACTTTTTTGCTTCAGGAGGCAGTTTCCGTGTTACACTCAACAGATCCTTACAGAGCATTGCAATGAAGTGTGGTTTTGTAAATTCTCTAATGATGGCACTAAACTAGCAACAGGATCAAAAGATACAACAGTTATCATATGGCAAGTTGATCCGGTATGTACTCCAATATAAGTATTTAGATTGCAAAAAAAGTAATTTTGAATCTAATTCTTTAGTAGGGGAGAATGTGTAGATATATGTACCTACTGTTATTTTTTTTTAAGTACACACAGTATTCCAAATGCATTTTTTCATCTTTGTCACATCTTGATCCTGGATTATTTAAATATGTATATTAATATTTAAATTATTGAATGCTTGTGATTCTGCTAAATCTGTGTATTTATAATTTTCTGAATAATTCTGTAGGATATTTTCAAATGAAGAAACTGGGATACCAGAAAAATGCCCAGGCTCTCCTAGTTTGTAAGTGGCAGTTAGAACTCAAATCCAGAATGTTTTGACTCCTAGGCCATTGACCTTAACCGTCTGCTCATTTGTATTTTTATTAATACTTGATTTACAAGGTTTATCCAATGTCCCTTCATTCTATTGCAGTTAGACCGAAATCACTGTTTTGTTACCTGTCCTTTATTGACTTGTGGAATGTGTGCAAGTCCCCCTCTCTTGTTTTTTCCCCAGTGAGATACATGAAAAGTACTGTGTTCTAGTCCTAACGTTCTAAATTATCTGAGAATCAGACTGTCTGTATTCATGTAACCAAGTGACCCAGAGATATGTGGAAATCAGTATGATTCCAGACAAGTTAGCGATGGTTTAGGCATTGTCACCTAAAACCATGAAGTAAGTAAACATTTTAAAATTTAGAGTAAACATTTTTAAATTTAGCCCTAGTAGAAAGCCCCCAGAAGAGACTCCATTTTGAAAGACTAGAGTAGTTGTTCACCTGCCATAATCTATGAATGATGATATTTGCCTTGTTTTCTGTTCTGTTTTTGCCTTGAAGAGAGTTCTTTACTCTTTTTTTTGTATGCCTTACACCTTTTGAGCAATCTCTCAAATAAACAACCCCCTTCTCAGAGTGATATTTTTAAATGCAAAACATGAGGAGCCTAGTCATATATATATTAATGGCTTAGGAAATCAGTTGGATTGCAGTGTAGTTATTAAGATACTATTAAAACAATTACAATGGAGTAATGTTATTCCTTTATTACCGCATTAAAAATGGAGAATGTTTGCTTGGTCCAGTAGCAGGGTAGGGAAAAGAGGAAGCCCTTCAGCAAGGTGGATTGGCATAGTGCTGCTGCAGTGGGCTCACGCATACGAACAGATGTGAGGGTGGCCAGGACCAGGCAGTGTTTCTTTCTGTACTTGGGAATCTCCATCAACCAGAACTGACCCCACAACAGCGGGATTGGGATCTAATGATGAGCATAAGTAATATTTGGAAATACGTGCAACTCTAATCTGTTAAAATATTTGAGATTTCTATTGGTAACAGTTACAAATACCACAACTTCTCCTGTGGCTAATTACCTACATTTGAGATGGAAGGAAATGCGTATGTTTCCTTTTTAAGTTCATGGACCACCAAGTCTACTCATAGACTAGACCTCTGGTGAAAACTCCTGCTAAAAGTGGTTCTCAACCTGTGGGTTGAGACCCTTTGGGGGTTGAACGACTGTTTCACAGGGGTCCCTCAATTCATAACAGTAGCAAAATGACAGTGATGAAGTAGCAGCATAATAATGTTACGTTTAGGGGTCACTACAACATGAGGAACTGTATTAAAAGGTCATGGTATTAGGAAAGTTGAGAACCATTGTGCTAAAGGAATGTACAGTTCAGAAAGGGAAGTAAAACACAATTTACAAAAGCACTGTGCTAGATAGATCTGTAGCTAGGCACAAAGGAGCCTCCCCGGTGGGAGCACCTGGAAGGAGGTACCATTTGAGCTTTGCTAGACAAGTGGAGAAAGGGAAGTGGTGGCAGCTGTGGGGTGCACTTAACGTTTCTCTTTTCTCCAGAATAAGAGAATAGGTTGAGCTGAGGGCAAAGAGTGGGAAATAAGATTGGAAAAAATTTTTGCTTCAAATCATGGCCTTTGAATACTATCTAAGGAATTTTGATTTCATTCCGCATTCATTTGCAACACATTGAACTGTGAAAAGAAAAGCAATAGTTCCGAAACTGGTGCACGAAGTTTTTCTGGCAGCAGTGTGGAAGAATCCCTTCAGTTAGCAAGTGTTCGCTGAGCACCTGCTGTGTGCCAGGCCTTTATGCTCAGGAAGCAAGACGGGTTACACAGGATACAGTGTCATTATGGGGTGATGACTGCTGCAGGAGTTCCACAGAGACAGACCAACTGGAACTGGCCGGCCCGGAGAGCGAGAAGGGCCTGCAAAAAACTGTTTAGACAAAACTAGCTAGGAATGGCCCTTTTTAATTTATGTTAGGAATGGCTCTTCTATGAAAGAAAACATGAGTGCATCAGTGTGCCTGGGGGAGCATTATCTTCACCCCAGTGCTGAGGTGAAAGCAGTAACAGCAGTCTGATGAAGGCAGATCTTGTGTGCTTGCTTTGAGAAAGAGTTTCCAGAACACCGGGTGTGCAGAATGTTAAGAGGTACTAGATATACAGGCGTTTGTGAGCAGATTAGCTTGGGAGATGCAGAGTTAATGCTTACATTCCAGTCTACAATATCGGGGATTTTTAAGGTCATGATTGTAAACAGCTGTGTTTCAGTGAGTTCTCGGGGACTGTTTTAATTCTACTGTTGTGATGGCATTTGTTGTGTCAGTAAGAATTGAGAAAATGTGACTGCGTTTTTCAAATGCATGGTTTTTATGTGTGCATTTTAAAATGAGAAAGGATACAGAGAGAACCCGAGCTCTGAGTTGGTCATTCTAGTCTAGTGCTTAGTTTCCTGTAAGTTTCTCATGAATTGACAATGAGGGGGTACCCCCCAAAACAGGATTTTTTTTCCCAAAGTATTTAAAAAAAAAATTTTTTTTTAACAAAACAACCTAATCACCTTCAAAGTACTTCCCATTACACTTAACACATTTGTCAAATCTGCAATTTCATTCTTGGAAACACTTTTCAAACTCCTCTGTTTGGATGGCTGACAGCACCTCCCTCGTTTTTTCCGTCACCGCTACATGGTCACATCGCTGTCCTTTCATGTCCCTCTGCTTTAGTAGAAACAAAAAGAAGTCTCGGAGCAAGGTCAGGTGAGTCAGGTGTGTGGGGCAAGAGAGGCATGCTGTCTTTTGCCAAAAACTGGTATACTGAGAAGGCTGCATGAGCAGGTTCCGTGTTGTGATGGCAAAACCAGTCACCTGTCTGCAACAACATCAGGCCTTTTTGTCACACACTGTAACACAATCTTTTCAGAACCTCTAAATAGAAAGCTTGATTCACAGTTTGATCTGGGGGAACAAACTCCAAATGCTCTAACAAGTCGACGTTTTTTGTCTGTTTGGGAAGTTGACAGACATCCAGAATGAGGTTTGTCATCATTCGACACTTCACCCTTTTTGAAATGAGAAAATCACTTGTACACTTGAGTTGTTCCCATAGCACTGTCCTTGTAAGCTGTGTTAAACATCACAGCAGTTTCTGCAGCACTTTTCTCGAGCAGAAAACAATTTCACAGCTACACACTGTTTTCTTAAATCGACCATCACAAAAAAACTAGGTTTGAGTGAAACTGCTCTTATGAAAAAATCGCCGATCAGAGAGAATCTTCCCAGGGAACACCACTGGGCGCACAAACTCAGATCAAGTTGCTTGATGCTCACCTAGCAGTAAAAATGCAAACTCTCAAAGCTCAGCTCCGCCCAGTGCAACTCCAGTATTTTGGGGTCCTCCTCGCATTAGCAACCCTCAGACTAAACCGAGTCTTCATGATATTTCATGAAGTGAAAAACAGGTTAGCTTGTTAGTATAGTGTTTGCAAATATACGGTATTGATACCATGTTTTCCACTTTTTATTTATAAGGCTGTATTTTGTCAATAAATCATTGGTTTTTGAGTTGCATGCTTAAGGAATTTTGTCGTCATATTTAGATGCAAATCTTAGTGTGGACCAGGAGTTCCACTGTGAATGAAAGTTTGGTCCTGAAAGAACTTAGTAGTCACTTTATTATGCAAGCCACTGTGACCAGTATGACAATTATTGATGAAATAGAAATGCTCTCTTCCCTGTATTGGATCAGAAGTAGTTAACGTTTATTCAGTTTTATCTCACAGTAGAGATTTGGAATAGAAATCATATGAATACCTGGACTTAGGTCCCAGTAAAGAAAACAAACTGCAATAAGCAAATCCATTTCTCAGACATTTCTATAGGGGGAAAAAAGTCCCAGCATGATTAAATAAACTGGTTCCAATTGCATGTAGGTTGTCCCCATTGGAATGTCCCCCAGGCTCTGGACATGGTAAATCTGTAGACCTGAGTCTACAACTGAAGTCATTATTTCCTCCCATCTCTAGCCAAATTCCTACTTCTGTTCCCCATCCATATCCATTAAACCAGAAATCTGGAGGTTATTGAACATTTCTTGTCACGTTCTGTATGTTAGTTTCATCTCCCAAGTAGTTTTGTATCTGACCTCTCAACCCTGGCCATTGTCGTTTAGAGCCTTGTTTCTTTCAGAAGTATTACTATTGCATTTTCTCACGTGCTTTTATTATCCTGAGTTTTGTACATTCCAATCTATCTCCTGTTAAATTTTTTCTCTTAAATATCGTGATATATATTCATCATTTAAGCAGCTGTTCACTCACAGGATAAAAAGTTAACCCCTAAGCCTGAAATAACTGTGTACATTTTCTCATTCTTGTCTCTTACCACTTTGACATTTGCATCCTATGCTGCAGTATCCATAGTTTTCAGAGTATGGCTGATTCCGGCAGCCCAGATTCAAGTCCTGGCATGCACTATAGCAAGGAGGCGTGTGACTACTAATGGATGTGGGATTTTTGTCTGTATATATGGGTTGGGGGTGAAGATGTTTTAAATTATATGCTATTAATATACTAATCATGAAGTTATATACTTTATATTCATTGTAAATATTGTACATAAATCATATTTTAAATTGTTTATTAAGAGATTGCTTTGGGATACCCGTCTGGTTTTAGTTCTGAAAAGTTCCTGAGGATAAATTCTGCATGTCATTTTTATATTTCCTCCTGGCATACTGTGTGTTCTCTGTAGAAGATGATTAATAACTGCTGCAGCCTGAGTGAGTCTTATGAAGCAAGCTGTTAGAAGTTAAGTTGTGGGGAAATTAATGTGAAAGGTTCAGATTCAATTATATTAGCTAAAAATAAGAGCTGTTTTTTAAGTCTTTTGTGCTTGGAAACAGTGAGTGAGGGATGAGAGAGTTAACTGAGCTAGCCATTTTCTTTCCTAGGACACACACCTGCTAAAACTGCTGAAAACCTTGGAAGGCCATGCGTATGGGGTTTCTTACATTGCATGGAGTCCAGATGACAGCTATCTTGTTGCCTGTGGCCCAGATGACTGCTCGGAACTTTGGCTTTGGAATGTACAAGTGAGCAAGTTTCATCCTTGAATTTGCCGTTAATAAAGCACTTTATTTAAATCACCATAAACTTGCCCTGGTTCCTCAGTTGAGTAATCTGAGTTACAATGCCGCATCTCTTCCAAGAGATTACTCAAATGACTCTGAAGTGTCCAGGCTTACGCTTTTAATGTCATGCTGAATATAGTGGGATTTTTTGAAAGACCAGTGTGAGTATTTTGAGGCTTGTTTCCTTTGGACTGTGGCATTTGCTCTTTACTAAGATACTTACCCTAAAGAAAGGGTTTCAGTTGTGTATGAAGTTTGCCTGTCAAATGCAAAAGTATTGGTATCACACCAAATGTTCCAGTCTAATGGCAGCTGCTGTTGTTTATACGTGAAAGTTTATTCTGAACTAGTTTGGTAAATCCACATGATATATTTTGAGTATTTATTGGGGACTTTGTTTTTGCTAAGTGAAAACCTGAACTTTGTTGAGGGTCTCACTTTAGAAAGCTTCGACATTATATTCAGTCCAGTACAGGGCCTGGTTTACAGACTGATGAGTGAGACAGACACTTCTCCCTGTAGTAAAACCTCCTCTGTAAGCTGACCAGGTAGATGATGGCCTTTGTTTTATTCTCCCTAGCCTCTAGCCAAAAATTTAAGCCAGGCTACGGAGATTATGTCTAAAACTATGACTTGATGGGTAGGATTTTGAGTCCAAATATCTTCCTGTAGGTTAAGTTGGTTTTTGCCAGCAGTGTGAAGGTCAAACTCCACAAAGACTATTGAAATAATATAGTCTAGTGGAGTACATCATGAATACTAAAATTTTCCTCAAGATGACATACCATAATTCTGATTCTGTGAATATTAAAATCCTACTACTTATTTCTTGTGTTACAACTCTCGCTTTTTTATTTTCAAAAATGTTGAAATACACCATGATGACCTAAATGCTCAGTACTCTGTAGATTCAGTAGTTGTGGAATCTAGTTTTAGACTTTTATCTTTGTGTGTGTATATACACATGCATTGATAGCCATATGTCTGCATTCAATACATTAGAAAGTCATTTCCAGACTTAAGTACGAAAGGGTTGAGAATGAAAGCATACCCTGTATGACAAAGTACCATCATTATAGCTGGTTTGCTCTTGTCCAGTGCTTGCAATTTAAAGCCCCAATTGTTCAATAAATTTGGTTTTTGTCATTTTTATTAAGCCAGAGTTGAAGGCTCACGTATGTGTGGCTTTGTTCAGGTGGCTAGAGATGCACAGATCAGAACCCATGAGTTTGCCTCAGTAAAGCAGAACCTGAAGTGAATCTGACTTGGAAACCAATGAGTGTTTCTCATTAAGAATTTTCCTCCCCTCTCAAAGGGAGGAGCTACGTGATCTACATCCTGTAATAGTAACTCTTAATTTATAGTGCCTGTATATTCTTCCTTTGAATCAATTTACAACTATGTTCTATAAAAGTTTTGCTATGCATTATTTTATATATTTAAACGTGTTTTAAGAGGGTGGCCTTTTATGCCATTTCAATTGTTTGCATTTTTAGGTAGGTTTCTAATAATCTCTTAGCCTCATATAGTAGAATCATTGTATTAAGCATAACAGAAGGAATGACCATTTCTGCCTTCATTAAAAACATTTGTGAATAGAAAATGATTCTAAGATTCTCACTGTTGCATGTATATATGTGCATATAAATTTTTGTTTTAACTACTTGTACCAAGCAACTAAATAAGGTAAATAAATGAGTATAGATAACATTTTGGAGGAACATTTTTCAAAGAAAACTTTAAAAGAAATTTTTCCAGTTTGAGAGAGAATGTTTTCTATTTTTGTGCCCTTTCGGCTTTTACTTCTTGCCCCCATTTCCTAATCACACCCTTTGTTTTCACTCTTATTTTTACTTTTGATCACCCATTTCTCACAGGAGGTTATACCCATATACTTTTTATTATATCAAGGGCAGCTATTATCTCTCAGATCCTGTTTGTAATCCATGAGCAAAATGGAATCAAGACTAGATTAAATGGTATGTGTCTTCCTTCTAAGTTGAATAACTTAGAAAATATTCAGAGGATTTCTGAGGGTTGTAATCACTAAATAGCCTTGCTTAGCTGGGAATGCTTTAGAATGACTATGCTAAAACAGGACAGCGTCCCTTTTCTGTTACTTTTGAAATAAAGTCGTATATATTTTAACTTTGTTTTCCCTTCCCACCTTCCCTACTATGTTTTGAGTGTCTTGACCGTGAAATGTAACATAATTTAGACTAGAATTTAAGAATGTAGCTTTTCTAGTCATTAATTACGTTTTTCAGGAATTGCTACTGTGTTAACTGCATTCTTAGGCTAAACTTTATTCAAAGCTAAGACAGAGAAATTGATACTCAGGGTACTAGGCATGAGTTTTTCATCAACTTGATAAAAGTTACATGTTAATTTCACTTATAAATGTAATTTTGAGATTAGGGGGGGTGCTTTTTTGTTTTAATTTATCTCATAGCTGGATTTTTTGGGTCAGTTACTACAGGCATTGTTCAACTCCCAAGTTCGATCGTAAAGCCCTGACTCTTCTTCTGAGTGCTAGAGTATTTTGTATAAAGCCAGCTAAAGCAACTCTTTTCTCTCATTAGGAATACCAAACTAACCAGATACACACACACACACACACACACACACACACACACATACACACGCGCGTGCGCGCGCATTTTTTTCTTCTTATTCTATTTACACACACACCTTGTTGATGGATATCTAAAAAGCCTTAAATTCAGTTTTATTTCTTTGCAGACGGGAGAGCTAAGGACAAAAATGAGCCAGTCTCACGAAGACAGTTTAACAAGTGTGGCTTGGAATCCAGACGGGAAACGCTTTGTAACTGGAGGTCAGCGTGGGCAGTTCTATCAGTGTGTAAGTGTTCCGTGGCCACTTTTAAAGGTCTGCTGCTTTAAAAGCAAATTTAACTTTGTTGAAATGAAGAATTCACTTGACTCCGTATCTATCTTAAATTAACTACTCTATATGAAGAGCTACTTTTGCCATCTTCCCAGAGCAGCATTGCCTGATGGAGCTTCCTGTGATGCTGGGACTATTCAGTAGTTTCACGGTCCCATACAGACAGTAGCCACTACACATGTGTGCCTGTGAGACCAAATGTTTCCTGTATAGAGATTTTCTCACTGCAATAGCTATGTCTAGTGACGACTCCAATCCTAGATCAAACTTACATCAGGAGTTTGATCATCTTTTTTATGTGCCCATGAAACAAGTCAACAAAATTATGATTTTTAGGTTTCTTCATTTTCTTTTTCTTACCTTTCCTGCCAAGTCATGTGTTCTGTGGAGTATAGGCCTTGAGTTTAAAATGATTGTTTTGCCAAACTTTATTTTTCAATTTATAGTTTTTAATTTGGAGACATGAAAAGATTTAGTATATAATTTCTTTTGAGGTTTTCAGCCCTTTGGAATTTTGTATATATATATTTTAAATAGTGTCCTGAGTACACAGGCTTTATTCCTTCAAAATTTAAGGAATCAAGATGGTTATTCATGCAACCCAAGAACTTTTCACTCTGTGATGTCTTCTGATGAATGTCCACGCTCTTATTTTGGATTGTTGGCATAAGTCAGATGAGTACTAGCTGAAAAGTTTTATGCCATGCTGCACTCTGGCACAAGTGCAGTGTCAGTACTGTTCTAGCTAGAGTCGATATTTCACCCCCTGCCTAGCGAGATTCAGGTGACACTGCTTCGTTGATTTTTTTTTCCCCCCACCAAATAATTTAGATGTAGCTAAAGATCACCTGTCAAAAGGACTTTATAGAGCCACCATAAGTCACCGATTTATTAATCTGACTATGAAAAACGTGGACTCTAATTCCTTATTATTCCAGCATGGTGTTGGCCATTACTCTTTACTCCCCTACATGCCAGGGCACCAGGTATGCTTCTGCTGTCTATGGCATCCAGTGTATGGTTGAAATTTCAGGATACAAGACTAACAAGTCCTTCACCTGCTAAATGGGCATAGTAATGCCCTTTGGGGTTTGATAGGCAATGTGTAAGAGCTCTGTAGCGATCTATAGAGCACTTTACAAATTTAGCTGAGCTTTATAAAACATCATAATGGGGTTTCTAAGTTCTATTTAAAACTATGATTAATGTTTTAAATAAATTTCTTCCATATCACAAATCCTGAATGTTAGAGGCCAAATCCCAGTAGTGTGGAGAACTTTAATGTTTGAATTATTTTCCAATAAAAATAGAACCTCTTACTTGGAATTTATGCATTTTCCTTTTCATTTTATCTGTGTTACTTGGCTGAAGTTAAGTGTACAATAATCCCCTACTCACACCCTTTTCCCTTTAGGTATTATAATGAGATTTGACCAGTACCCTCATAATTAAGAACATTTCTGGAGTTATTCAGTTAAAATCAATCTCAGGGAGAAAAAAAAAATTACTAAAAGATACTGCTAAGAGAAATGTCTGGTTCTTTGCTTGCTTTCCGAGAGTTAATAGCACTTTTCTCCTGCTCAGGATTTAGATGGTAATCTCCTTGACTCCTGGGAAGGGGTAAGAGTGCAATGCCTTTGGTGCTTGAGCGACGGCAAGACTGTTCTGGCATCAGATACACACCAGCGAATTCGAGGCTATAACTTCGAGGACCTTACAGATAGGAACATGTAACTCTTTTTGCTTCCTTTAAATAAGGACAGTCTGGTTTATATTAAAATGTGGACTGTGGGGCTTGTGTTTCCAGTAGAAAAGTTTATTATGTTTTGGATATTGCTTTGTTTTAGTAGTTTGGATTGTGGGTGGATAGTTAGGTGGTACTTGGTGATTAGTAACTCATTTTTCTTAATTGAAGCATAGTGTATAATAGTGATTGTACGCAAGATTGTGCAAAACATAATTAGCAAGAGTATTTATATTTTAGTCATGTCCTAGATTTTTTGTGTATACTAAATTTGACAAATTATCTTTTGGTTACAGAGTACAAGAAGATCATCCTATTATGTCTTTTACTATTTCAAAAAATGGCCGATTAGCTTTGTTAAATGTAGCAACTCAGGTAAGCTTAATAATTTAATTTTGAGGAAATTTTAGCTTAGCCCAGATTTTATATCTTCATTAGAATTTTTACATAAACAAGTGGTCTACTTGTAAATATTTTGGTATGTTTGATCCTTACATGTAGAGAATCAACCACAACTACACTAAAACATTGACTTCTTTTTTCAAACAATTATGTATGTTTTAATAAATTTATTTTGTGTGGAACTGAATGTCCAGTTAGAGTAATATTTGACCCTCCGTGCATGGCTTCAGCAATATACCTTCATTTTGTTTTGTTTTGTTTTTTTAACATTTTACTAGGGGCTCATACAACTGTTATCCCAATCCATACACACATCAATTGTGTAAAGCGCATTTGTACATCATTTCTCAAAACATTTTCTCTCCACTTAAACCCCCGACATTAGGTCCTCATTTTTCCCCTCCCTCCCCGCTCCCCCCTCCCGCATGAGCCCTTGATAGTTTATAAATGGGTATTTTGTCATATCTTGCCCTGTCTGACGTCTCCCTTCACCCACTTTTCGGTTGTCTGTCCCCCAGGGAGGTCACACACAGTTCCATGTAATCGGTTCCCTCTTTCCTACCCATTCTCCCTTTAAGAGTTAAATTTGCATAATGGTTCAGAATCATTGAAGATCGTTTGGGGTGTAGCATGGGGTTGTACACATAACTGTTTAAACATTAAATGTGAAATAAAGACACAAAAACAACCAAATCCATTGCTATCTATCTAGTCCATTCTGATTCATGGTGACTGTTGAACAGAGTTTCGCTGCCTATAGGGTTTTTGCGGTCGCTATCTTTATGGAAGCAGTCAGCCACATCGTTCACCCAGGTAGCCACCGGTGGGTTTGAATGATTGGCCCTTGGCTAGTAGCAGATCTCTTAACCCAAGGTATCACTAGGGTGTAGGGTGTCTTTTAAAGACAGCCTGCAAACTTGAATGACTTCTATCATTCTGTATGACCATTGGCAATTTTTTTTTTCAATCATTGTATTGGGGCAATTTTGTTATTTAATATGGAAAACTGCAATTGGAAACTGAGAAGTGTTTTCATTTGGTGTAAATGAAGATCACAGTTAATGAATGAACATTCTTTTAAGAGGATTTAGAATAAATGTATTTTTTTGCCTGCAGGGAGTTCATTTATGGGACTTGCAAGACAGAGTTTTAGTAAGAAAATATCAAGGTGTTACGCAAGGGTTTTATACAATTCATTCGTGTTTTGGAGGCCACAATGAAGACTTTATCGCTAGTGGCAGTGAAGGTAAGTATTTGTGTCACCATCATATATACCAGGAGATGTAAAGCTTTCTCTCCCCTCAATTTGTGAAGGTAATCCTAAAGCAAATTGAAGGTATTAAATTAAAATTTAATACACAAATTCCATGTGTGTTTATCCAACAGTGTGTTTATCCAACAGTGTGTTGGATAATTTTCCCTTCCTTGGAATGAATTGAACCTTCCTTAGTATCTTCAATGGTGCCCTTTTGGACCATGTGGAAGGATGTGAATATCACTTTTAAGATTTGTCAAATCAATATACTTTTGTATATTGATTGCTTTTTTTCTTTTCGTGGGAAATGATGTTTTTTAGAAGTTGGTAGTAACAAAAATGTCAAGGTTAATTATATTTTGTGTGAACTGGGACAAAATCAACAAAACTTTAATCTTTGGCATCCGTTCAGTTGATATAAGGAATAATTCAGCTTGAAAATTCTTATAGTTAAGCAAAGTTGAAATGATCAGGCATGGTTCTGTTATTTATTTATTTGGTTCTGTTATTTTGAATAAACTTTGTATTCTCCAGTCCAAGAACATTCATGTTTGGCATGCATATGCCTAAAGTATGTGGTCTAATTTAAAATGCAAATTGTTTAAGATGTGAGAGGCTTATCAAAAGTCAGTGTACACCTTTAAGGTGATAAGAACATCTGTCATGGCAAATTCTTCCCGATTGTTGTTGAACACGTTTTCCTTGAGTACTCACTGTGTTACAGTGACTTGACAACATTCTGATCTAGCCTGAAAAGCTGTGAGAAGAACCTGGATTCTGTTGGTAAACTCTGTGGTTGTGCCCCTTGTGTGTATGACGTACACTACTATGATACCAAAAAGCTGATCTTAGTAGGAACGAGGATCACAAAGTGGCTTTTAAGATTGTGAGGTTTTTTTCTCAGCAATTCTCTTTTACCTTTTACTTTAATTATATCATGTTTTCCAGATTCTAGATTGGTGTTTGGTTGACTTTTCCTTCCTGTAGTTTGAAGATGTTAAGCTTTCTTCTAAGCTCTTCCTCTTAAGAGATCTTCCCGTGTTCAGTCGTGCTGCTGGTGGTCGTTGCCCCAACCCTCTCTTGATTATGCCTCGGGATTCCCCATAGCTGTCTGTAAAAACAACATGGGCCCCAGAGGCGCTTTTATATTCTACTTGGGCTAAAAGTGACATAACTGTGCAGTAAAGAGATGAATTTCCTTATGCAGTAAAGAGATGAATTTCCTTATGACTCAAATGGTTTAGATAGTTTTTAAAATAGTTGAAGCACCACTTGGATATAAAATAAATCCAAACCCACTGCTTGTAGAGTCGATTATACGTCACAGTGACCCTATAGGACAGGGGTCCTCAAACTTTTTAAACGGGGCCAGTTCACCGTCCCTCAGACCCGTTGGAGGGCCGGACTATAGGTTTAAAAAAAAAATATGAACAAATTCCTATGCACACTGCACATCTTATTTTGAAGTAAAAAAAAACAAAGGGCAAAAACACCCGGCCGACAGGATAAATGTCCTCGGCGGGCTGCTAGCGGGCCATAGTTTGAGGACGCCTGTTATAGGACATAGACTTGCCCCTGTGGGTTTTCAGGCTGAAATCCTGTCAGAAGCAGACAACCACATCTTTGTCTTGGAGCAGCAGGTGGGCTCAACTCACCTTTCAGTTAATAACAGAGTGTATTCAAGCCACTTGACTTTCAGTTCCCCTCGGAGTGCTTAGCTCTGCTGTGCCCCCGGAGCACCTTAATTGGGTCTGGTAGGTATATTGTTTTCTAATACGACTAGTGATCCATTTACATACAAGGAATATATTTCAAGATTTCCAAATCCTCAAATAGATGAATGCCTATATAAATTAGGAAGCCGCCTTGTACACATGCCCAGCCCCCCCCACCTCCAAAAAAAAGTGCAATTGATTATCCAAGATTTTTCATTGTGGTGGCAGTAATAAAGAAGTAGACATACTTTTCAGTTTCCCAGACTGACTGAGCAAGCAGAACTTGATTATTATTCTGACCTTCAAATCTCAATTTTTCTCTGTCTCTGCAGCAGGTAAACCCTCAAGTTATGTGTTTATGTAACATTTTCCTCCTGATATAGACAGATTTCAGTTGCACTCAATTGTCAAGCCTGTAATATTTCTCCTACACCACCACCACCACCCTTCATTTTTAGCAAAGAAATTTCAAGAACATTCTTAGTCTGTTGTCTTTATGTCAGAAATTTTGAGCCCAAGAGTGTATTGTCTTACTAAAAGTTAATTACTTTTCTCCACTGTATAGCTTCCCGAGTTGACAACACACCCACAGAAAATGTCCACATGGTCAGACTGGACACTTAAATAATGCTAATGGACCCCTACTTTAAGGCCTCCTCTTGGAACCCTCGCCTTTACTTAGCTACTGTGTCTTCACAGTAATATGCTGTTTAGTAAAGCATTTTTAAAGATCTCAATGTGTATACTCGTCCCAACATTGTGATGAAGTTATTTTTTACAGGTGGACGAGGTGCGACAAGAATGAAAAACTGGCAGGGTTTCCCAGCCAGTATAAGTTGATCATGAAGAAGCAAAGTTGTGGGAACTTCTTGTTTTCAGATTCCCTTTGTGAGATTATAGCCTACCACAAGCTGTAATATGAAGCAGATGTGGGATTGGTCTAGACTCACTAGTGTACACTGAGCAGAGCTGCTGCCTAGATTGAACCCCAGCTTACCAGGCACTAGTTCTGAACCATGAGCAAGTCACTTAACCTCAGTGCCGTCATCACAGTCCATCGAGGACTAGGATAGTACCCGCCTCATGAGATTAAAGATTGAACACCATACACGAAGAACTTCATACGTAACACTGCCATCGAGTGAATTCTGACAGAGTTCATATAGTACGAGGGTAGAACTGCCCTTGTGGATTTCTGAGACTAAATCTTTACAGGAGTAGGAAGTCTCATCTTTCTCCCAAGAGCAGCTGGTGGTTTTGAACTGCTGACCTTGTGGTTAGCAGTCCACCTTAATAACCTGCTACACCAACAGAACTCCTACTTAATACCTAATTTAGATATATTGCTTTGCTGTCACCTCAAGATACTTTCCCTTTTTATGCTGGATTAGTTTATAAAGATCCTGTTTATTACTCAGATGTTGACAATATTTCAGATTGTGTGTGTGTGTGTGAGAGAGAGAGAGAGGCTGAGATTCTAGGGCTAATCACCTTGAACAGAAAAAGTATATATTATTAAAATGACTGTAGGATAATGTGTTAAGCTATTCTTATTCTCCCTTCAAGATCGAGTAATGAGTCATATCTGGTAAATGATAAATTGAGTCAGTCGTTTTTGTGAATATAAGACAACCCCTAACTCTTCCTGAATTACTGTTTTTGGCTTTGTTTTCAGATCATAAGGTGTACATCTGGCACAAGCGTAGTGAGCTGCCAATCGCAGAGCTGACAGGGCACACACGTACAGTGAACTGCGTGAGTTGGAACCCACAGATTCCATCTCTGATGGCCAGCGCCTCAGATGATGGCACTGTTAGGATATGGGGACCAGCACCTTTTATAGACCACCAGAATATTGAAGGTAACCCTGCTGGCTGTAAACCAACAGCCATTTTTAAACTGTAATTGATTTAAAGTATGGTATTGTGGATTATTTTGTCCGTTTTTTAAAGAAGAGGTTTACTTATCTCATCCCATAGGACAAGTTTAAGATCTGATAGTTCTTTTGTTTTAGTTGTGTTTTTTCTTCAGGAGGATATGTTGGAATGGGCATATCTACTACTAGTATTGTTAACTTTCAATATCTGAATGAAAAAAACCTTCCTTCCTCATGCTACTTCCGTAGACTGACTGCTGAAGCATGTTGGACAAAAGTAGTAATGGTCCGCATGAGGGCCGGCCAGCTTCTGTTGGGTCCATTGTGGCTACTGGCCGCCGCCCCATGTGTGTCCCAACAGAACTGGGCTCTGGGGGGGGGGGGGTCCCACAGGAGCCCAGGCTTTTCTTCTGATGGCCTCTGTCTAGGTGGACTTGAACCACAGACCTTTTAGTTAGCTAAGCATGTTGACCATTTGCACCAGTAGGAACTCCACATTAGGTTCTAAGCCTTATGTAAAAATTTGACCCACTCTAAAAGGTTTAGTGAGCTTGCTGGCTGATAGTATTCTTAAAAATATAATGTAGGCATCACTTCTTGGCCTTCTGGCTAAGATCAAGTGTAAAAATATAATGTAGGTAATACCACATGGTGTACTCTTATGAGCTATGCTTGTTGGAAAGGGGAATAGGGAACTAAAGTGTATTATGCTGAACCTTGTTAATACCTGTGTGAAATAATTACCCCAGAAGAAGTATTTTTTTAATCTTTTATCCTCATTTTCATACTGAAGCAAAATGAAGCATAGCAATGCTGATTAAAGTCTGAAAGGCTTTAAACACAACTTGGAGATATTTGCAGCCCTGGGAGGCACAGTTCGTTAAGAAATGTGCTACTGACCCAAAGGGGCACCTCAGGAGCAAGGCCTGATAACCTGCTTTGGAAAGGTCATAGCCCTGCACACCCTGTGGGGGATGCAGTTTGCTCCCCAACACATGGAACCCCATGGCCACTGGTGGGGTGGTTTGGGTTTAGAATACTGGGAGAGAGATAAAGGAAGACACCAGGATAAAGAACAATGCTGAAATTGAGCGTGATATCAGCACTAGAGAGAAAAGGTAAAGAGAAGTTTTATGTAAATAGTATTACCTGTTTGTTTTCAGGTAGCGTAGGTAAAAACCTTTGTTTAGAGGAAGTAATTTACTTAGAAAAAGACATGTTTTTCATCTAAATGTTTTAGTGGGAAAGGTAAGTAACCGCTCAATTACATGATTCTCAGTGGTAGAGGTGGGGGCTGGGCTATCATGCATGGGTTAAGACAGTGAGGGAAGGAGGCTTCAAAAAGTTCGTGGAAATGGAATTGAAAGATGAGGGAATTTTTCTGAAGCCTCCTCATTGCATGTACCTTTTTTTTTTTGTCCTTATAATACATACTGTAGAAGGCTTAGCCATACTTCACTGGCCAGTGAGGCTATTCAGCCAGAGCTGAGAATAAGATGACCAAGAGAGTACACAGATCAAAACACCCTGCAAGCTGCTCAGTTGCACACCACCTAGACTGGGCCGTTCCTTTGTGCTTGTAGATTCCCACCTGAGCTGCTACCCTGCCCTGGGATTTCAACTAGGCAACAAACGCTTACCTTGTGTTCTCCTGTTCGCTTGCAAGGCCCTCTAAGAGCTCTACAACTGTAATAATTTGAGCTTCTCTTAATTTTGTTAGTCATTTGAAAAGTTGTTGCTTCAAGTGACCATATTTGACTTCACGGCACAGGAAAGTGTTAGGCTGACTCAGTGAGTGGGTTTATTTAGAGGTGCTCTTCAGGACACGTTGATCTCTGTTTGTGCCGCCATGCCTCTGCCTTCACTGCTGTTTGGTGGATTTGATTCATCTGGACGCTCGATGATGGGTGACCCCAATTTTTTAAATTCAGCAGCTTTCCACAGTCTTGGTTTTCATGTGAAGTTGGGAGCAATGGCTTCTAAACACCCATTTGGTTGAAAGCTTTGAAAGCAAGTACCCTTTGGGTTCTTTCCCTAAGGGGTATACTTTTCTTTTCTCTAAAATAATTTCATTTTTAGAAAAGTTGAAGAGACTGACGAGATTAAAAATTCATACTAAAAAATATAAATAAAAATAAACTTATACTCAAATGAGAGTATATTCTGTCATTTAAATAAAAATGTTTCACTTGATTACTTCATTTCAAGAGAAATTGCTTACCTTTTATTGTTACAATTGAATTCTGTCTCGGCCATGCTGTTGTGCGCTCACGCACCCCTGCCCCCACCCCCACAGTTTTAAATGAATGAATAAATCCTGGTAAATAAATAGTTCATGACAATGACAGCATTCCAAAAGGGAATTGACCAAACGCATAGTTATATCGCAGTTTCAGGGTTGCTGCACCTGAGATTACTCTTCCTCCCACTCCCACTCCCCATGGTAAACTTTATCAAGAGATTTTCTCTTCCACGTAGCTCCTTCAAGCTTTATTTATAAAGCATGAGTATTCGTTTGGGTTCTCTGTTAATCACAATAATCATGAGTTTAGACTATATTATGTGGCCTGTGACATGAAGCAGCCAACAATGTTTATTGGTTCTGATGAAAGTATCAAGAATTTGTCTTGTTTTTGAAATGATGCTGATTTTTCAAATATTCTAACTCTAAACTTTTTTCTTCCCCTTTCCTTTCTTCCCCCCCACCCCACCCCCCACCCCCACACATTTCATCTGTCTTCATCCAGAGGAATGCAGTAGCATGGATAGTTGATGGCGAATTTGGAGCAGACGACTTCTAACTTAAAATTAGTCGGATTTTAATGGCTTGGGATTTGGTGCAAACAAACATGATTGATATAGCTGGATGGACATGCTCGTCATGAAAAAGAACCATTTCTGAAGCCCGATTGGGGCCAAACATTTCCACCTTGCTTCATAGTAACCAGTTGAGATGAAGCGCGTCGCTAGAACGTTGTTGGACACCATGTTGAATTATCCCCCCATCGGTTGTGAAGAACTGTGCTACATTGAGGCTTACCCATCGAACTCAGTATCTATTTTTCCCTCCTGCCTTTTGTGTGGCAGGATACCATTCTTGTTGCTCTTCTGTGTAATGAAGTTTAAATGCTTGTTTGGAAAACTTTATTTAACAGTTTAGAAGGCTTGATAGAAAGAGTGCATTAGTCTGAAGAGTATACATTGGATAGGAAAGAATTTCCTTCTTTTGTTTCTCCAAATCTTTCCGCCTTATTTAGCTTGAGATCTTTGCAGCTTGGTTCATGGATTCTAGCCTTGCCCGTTGCGCAGTATATACTGATCCAGATGACAAACCAGTGAACTATGTCAAAAGCACTCTCAATATTACATTTGACAAAAAGTTTTGTACTTTTCACATAGCTTGTTACCCCGTAAAAGGGTTAACAGCACAATTTTTTAAAAATAAATTAAGAAGTATTTATAGGATTAAAGTGACTTCATTTGTATACATTTGGAATCTAAACCAGCTTCAAAACAGTTTCCTCAGTGACTTAGATATGCAGTATAACAGACTCTATTGGAGTACAAGACACGGTCAGACACAGTGCTTTGGAAGGACATTACACAGGAAATTAAGAGTAATACTTCAAGCCAACCCACCCCCACCTCCCACTCTGTTTAATTCACTAGAGAAACATCAGTACCTGCTCTTGAGATTCAAGTTTTTAAAGGTGCGTTTTAGGTATACCAACACAGCTCAGTAGTCAGTTTAGGTGTTCAGCAAAGCTTGTCCCAAGTTGTTCTCAACTTGGGAAGTCATTTTGGTGTGATCTAGCAAGAGAGTAGACATCAGCAGATAGAGAAGCTCTTTGGAAGCCCATAGTGTAATTGAGATATGGAAAGAAGAATGTAGCAGCTTCTAAACATACTTAAACTGGGTTTTAAATAACGTCGCAGTGAGTCTTTTCCCTTAATAGCCCTTAATATTTTGACATGTATGGAGACATATACCTTGTCAGTTGTCAGTTATTGCCATACTGAACCTCATTCTAAACTGGTGCTGTGGGTAGTCTTTCCCTCTCCCTTCCCCTTTAGTATAAGAAAGGTTTCCTTCATGGGTAAGCACTTGTAATTTTGAGAATGTCACACTTAAAAAAGCCAAAAGCCTGATGTTCACATTGTGCTTTTAAACCCGTGACAGCTGAAGACAACACGCGTGGTCTCCTTGGAAACCTGCCCTTGTCAGTGGAAGATCTATCTGGTGACCAACACCGTTCGTATTAGGAGGAGTTGGGGATACCCCCAAGCAAGTCTGGTGGACAAAACGTCTCACACCAAGGTCCCTGGTCAGCCCAGCCAAGACGGTCCTGTGTTAGTAGGCTCCCTCAGGGTCCACACAAGACACATAGCTGGGGTGTCAGGAATTCTCCCATGAAGGGGTGAGGGGTGGCAGCAGGAAGAAAGGGGGGAGATCAGGGAAGGGGAGAAGAAAGCAAAACACAATTGGCCTTAAAATAGCCTGGGTTCTCCCAAAAGCTCAAAGAGAAAAACGGCAGATTGTGGTCAGCAGGTTATTTTATCAAATTGGTCCGTGAACGATTTTAAGCTCCACTTTGCAGAGACCACCACTTAGAGAATCAAAGAATTCCTGTTTTATGCTTCTGAGTAAAATATGTTACAGTTTATCTGGAACTTCATTTTTCTTTTAAGATTACTTTTTACTTTCAGCTTGAATAAAAATCTTCATTGGTAACTATATAAATTAAGTGGCAACTTCTCTGTACCTCAGTGGTTATTTTCAGTGATTCGTGTGTACCCGGAAGCATTAACACACCCCAGTCTCTACAGGAACATCAAAATGTGGGCAGAGACACTCCACTGCTGGGCGTTAACAGTGTGCAGTGATGGTGCCCATTTGGGGCAGTTTGACACTCAGACGCTCCCTATCTACTTCACACCCCCTAGATCAGAGTAAGAACATAACTCCAATTAAAATGGAGCAACAACTATGCAAAGGTTTCTAGAGCAGCTAGGTGAGTTTCCTCATGCCAGCTTGCTGTAAGCAAGGTTCGGAGTTTGCCGTGCTGTGACTGCTAGGAAGTGAAGACACTGAGGGCAGGAGTGTAATCCACAGCCACTAACTGCTGGGACTGCCACAGGCTTGGAAGGAGGCCTCGGGAAAAGGCCAAGCAAGGATACTCCCAAGCCCGCCATAAGATACTCACAGATGTATAAATTGAAAAGTACCAATACTTTTTGCACACATATCAAAACAGATGTTTGCCCCCCCCCAAAAAAAAAATTCAGGTTTAGTAGGCTCATTTCCATGTGCTTAAAAATGTTTTTGTTGTTCATTAAGGGCTAGAGTAAGCATAACATTAAATGTCTTTTTCCTCTTAAATAATTGGCAATATAAGGGCTGTGGGGATTTTAAAGATTGGTGTGAGGGTGGTGGTAAGGAACGGCCCGCATCCTGCCCTGTGTAGCAGTCTCCACCCCAGCTCCTTGTCTGTTGCTCTTACTGGCCTGATAGGTGTGAGTAACCAGGTAAGTCACCTGCACAGAGTGAATGTTGCTACCGTCCTGGCAAGGTAGGGTATGAATAAAAAGGGATCCCCTAACTATATAGTCGGTAATTACAATAATCACTAGTTAAAGGGTTTCTTGCCCTGTTGTCTAGCAATCACACGTAATGGCGGTCATTGTTAGTCATGGTCTGCTTCTTGTGGCGCTCCACAGTATTAATAGAAAACCCTCCCCCCACCCTTCCCCATCTTGAAATTCTCTTTTTTAGGATGTTGGTTCCTGCAAATGAGAGAACTGACCCAGTCACCTCTGCCTCGCAATGGGTAAAACTACATCTCTTGAAAGGGGCAGAGCCCTGTCCGTTTCTGTACAGCAGAATGGCTGCTTTTCAATGGGGAGGAGAGAAGACATTGTTCTTAATATCCTTTTGGTCCCAAATCAAGAAGTGTACGTAATACCTCCCATTAGTTTTCCTCATTTAGACTTAAGGAGCTCCCATTTGGGGCGCCCCAAAACGTTTCTTCCATTTCAGAAACCATATCTGATTTAAAATCAACTGCTAACTTTTAAAGAAAAAGGTGAATTTGCATCTACACTTGACATTTTCTAAAAACAGGGTGAACTTAAAATTTTTCAGTGTTGTTAAAGCTATTGTTCTAATAGCGGCCCTATAGTTGCAAAAACAAAAAAGGGAACCTATGTCCTATATCCTTAATCCAGATAGCCTGGATTCAATGGGCCTAGTATAAAAGTTGTGTGTGTGTGTGTGCGCGCGTGCGCGCGCATGTACATGTATGCGAGAGACTAGTAAGTCCTGGAGACAAGCTGTTCTAGATTTTGTCAATTTTACTAAAGTCTTTAAAAGTGCACATGTGAAGTGCCCTCTTTGAATTTAGGTTTGGTTAATACTGGTATGTTTTTTTATACGATTGAAACTGACCCAATGTTTAACTAAGAAACATTTCTCATTATTGGAATCAATGTGCTAGAACTGAATCAGAACATTTTTAGGCACAGATGGAAAAAAATGTGATTGGCTCCTTGAAAATGGGTATGTGTAGCAAGGGGAATGGATCCACGAAGGCGTGTACGTACTTACGTACTACAAACCAAGCTGTAGAGACCAAGGACATAACTTAAGTGTTGATCTCCCGATTTCTAAATTGTCAAGATTTACATGGAGTTGTGGTGGAACTAGTTAACACTTAGAGCTTTGGGTATGTAATGACTATTTGCTATGGACTGATTGTTTCAAAGGATTGCATTCTTAAATTTGGTGAAGGGGGGATTTTTTTGTGTTGCTTTTTTTCTCAGATTATATTTAGCTTAAATTTCTTTGCTATATTATTTCATTAAAGCATAAAAACTTCAGGTCTCTTAATATTTATTTTCACTTGTTCTACTAATTATTTACCAAACACCCTTTGTTAACTTTTATTTTATAAATGTGTAGCATATTAAACATCGTAAAATTCTGTTTGAATGAAACTACAGTAACCTTTATTTGCTTTACTGGGATTTTTTTTTTTAATACACCTTTCTCATGTCGGTGCCCAGCACTTAACAATCGTTTGTATTCCCTTTCTTTCAATCCAATAAACAGAATGAATAACTATGTGATTTTGATGCATTAACTCTGATGTCCATTAATATGAATGTTGAAATAGTACTGTTTTATCTAAAACAGCTGATTTGCCAAAGTTTTAAGTTCTATATGTGAGGGAACATAAAGTAGTGCTATAAAATCAAACATTCATTAAGCAAAAATATCAATGTGAAAAAAGAACCAGATGAAGCTATTTTTTCTGGCCATATCCATCTAGGCCCGCACACTTCTGAAGGTAGCATGTCCGTCCCTAACCCTTCCCCAAAGAATTCCACACTTTTCCATTTACACCATGCAGGATGGCAGAGCTGGCATCCTATTCAAATCATATTCTTTAAATGTTCCTTGAGTTGGGGAACAAAAAGGAAAGGCAAGATACTCCAATGGAGTTTTCTTTGGCCAACTCTTGTTGCCCTTGAGCAAGTGGGTGGTGGTAGGGAGTGGGCAACAACGTGCTCAGAGTAGCTTTCCTGGCCTCGGTGGTGTACTTTACAACTTTCTTAAAATGTCCTCGCAATGAGCCCCTCCCTGTGGTTCTCCTGTGTCCTTTGAAAAAGATCAAAGTTTGCCCCCTTTGAAATCTCCCCAGTCACCATAAACGGAGCCAACCCCTCAATCTTGAACTCAGTTAACCAAGCAGATCCCCTTGTAAGCTGCAGCTTTGAACACTGGCAAACATGAGCACTGAGCAAGCCTGCCTGCTTTCTGAAGAAAGGAGTTCCTTCCCTGGCTTTTTAAATATTGTTGGCATTTTTCCATTTCTTACTCTTTATTTTTGTCTTTATTATTATTGCTTTCTACTGTTTTGGTTTTGTTTCTGTTAGGCCTCCCAGTTTAGAAAGCACAGAGGGTGTGGATGCACAGAGTAACTGAGGCAATGGTTTTTAGGGAGGGGGTGGGGGGGAAATTGGGGCATCAGTGGATGTGGGAGGGGCATTAGAACTGATTGTGATGATGTATAGTCACTGCATCCACCGATGCAGTGACGAGCGTGAACACATTTTCTGGGGGATAAACGCATGTAGGAGCTGGGCTGTAAACAGCACTTTTTGACTCAACTTTCTGTCTCCAGTTTTTTTGCAAGTGGTGTCTAGAGTAGCCTTGTCATGGAATATCTTTAAAGGGCCATTGGACAACCAGAGACAAATTAGAGAAAGGTGTAAGTATCATTTGCATTTAAAATTTTTGTTTTTAAAAAAACATCCAAACATGACTGTAGCGGAACTTCCGCATTTGCACTGGCTGTGTGCAGCTTTCAAGGCTGCGGCCTCTGGAGCCAGCTGACCGGCCCGAGGAGCCTCGGACGAGTTCAGACCCTCACCCTTTGACTCGCACTGGAGTCCCCCAGACTCCAGGCATTTGGGAGACATTATTTAAGTTGAACTACATCAGTAAACTACATCATTGTCAGGCGGTTAAATGCAGGCTTAAAGAAATTGTAGCAGTTAATAGATGATAGAGTGGGATTTAAGTCTCCCAGTTCCAAAGCCTGTGCTTTAGCTCCTAGAGCCCAAGGCATGGGAGATTCCAAGGAGAGCTTTTTCGTATGTCAGATTTCTGCTGTCCCCTTCCAGACCTACAATCGAGAGACCGACATGGGTTTTAACACCCCGGGCTCTGGTGTCAGCCTGGCACCCATCCACTTACTGGGGTTTGAGACCCGTGGGATTGTGCTTTATTCAGCAGTGCGACCAAGAATTAAGTGCAGGAGCAGGGAGGGTATTGACAGGGACTGAATACACCCTTAGTTACACACAAACACCTATCTGGCAATGCAAGGAGCTCCGTGGGGTGGGGTGCGTTTTACACACAGGGGCAGAGATCAGTTTTCAAAACCACTAGCTGCTCCAGGGTAGAAAGGCGAAGTTTTTCTTCCTGTGAAGAATTAGTCTCCAAGCAGCCGTCTAAGTGAAAGGTCAACTATGTCCCCACACAAGAAACACACCAGCCTGTGTGATCCAAAGATGACAAGAAAAATTCCAAATATAAGGAAGGGTAAAGTAGCAGAGCTGAAATAAATTGTGAACATCCAATTTGTAGAAGGCTAAGGAGGACAGTGGTGACCCAAAACCCATCTGCAGAGTGTCTGGTTGGGTCGGTCGGGCCTCTGGCAGATCCCCTCTAGTCACGGGTAGGGACTCGAACAGCTTTACTAACAGACAGATTATAGCAAACTCAATTATGGTGAACTGAACCAGGTATAATATACTTGGTCAGCTGACCACTCGACCCATTCTCAATTTGCTCTATACTAATATTTTTTATTGTTTCAAGAAAAATTTCTTCTCTGGCTTTATAAATATTGCTGGTATTTTTCGATTTCTTACTCTTTATTTTTATCTTTGTATTATTATTATTGCTTTCTACTGTTTTGGTATTGTTTCTGTTAGGTCTCCCAGTTTAGAAAGCACAGAGGGCGTGGATGCATACACAGTAACTGATGCTATGGTTTATAGCGAGGAGGTGGGGGGAGAGTTGGGGGGGCCATCAGTGGATGAGGGAGGGGCATTAGAACTGATTGTGATGATGTACAGTTAACTCTTTTTAGAAGTTTAACTATAGCTGTGTATGATATGTGAATATTAAAACTACTAAAAAACCTATGGTGACCATGGGAGAAAGAGGAAGTTTTTGCTTAGGGGCATTGTTTGGAGAGTGATAACAATAACGACTGTACAAGAAGGGTATCATCAGTAGCACTGAATTATACATATACAAGTTGTTGCAAAAAAAAAAAAGTTCAGTCTCAGAAAGCCAGAGAGGCAGCTCTGTTCTGCTCTGTAGGTCACTATGAGTTGGAATCAACTCGATGGCAGTCAATTTGGGGTTTTTGTTTTTTTCCTTTTCAACATTAGTAAGGAACAGGTCTTTGGGTCATCAATAGCAAATATTGGGGGCTTACTTGGTCCCATCACTATGGATGAACATGCCCGTGCAACCCTGCTTTACAAATGAGGGGATGGGTTAAAAGTAAGTGGTATACAGTAAAGTGGCTGAGGCTCAGAGATGCCGGAGTTCAAGTGTTGATCTATATTGTCTTCTATGTATGGCACCAACGTTGGAGTAAGTGGACGTTATACAAAAACTTGCCCAAAGTGAAAAGTGTGAGGGCATACTTAATGATTTTACTTAACTACTTAGTTGATAGAAGAAAATGCAGTTAATCATAAATCATACCAAGACTTTTCTCCATACAATTAAAATAATAAAGCAGACTCATGAAATGTTTGAACAGGAAAACTTCCATATAATTTTGAATATCTTTGTTTTGTCGATGTGTAGAGTTGTGGTGAAAATCAAGGGTTTATGAGTCATCAGACCGGAACACAACTCCTATCATTTGCCGTGGTTTAGACATGTAACAAGCCTCAGTTTCCTCATCTATAAAAGCCCCTGTCAGGAGGAGAATCAAGGGAAATAGAGGAAAGAGCTGGGAGGCAAAGGGCATTTATAGAGGTCTAGATAAAGACATGTACATATGCAAATATAT